CCCAGTTGGCAACCATCAAAATGTTCTCTATAATATATATGAGCTTCTTTCTGTTTAGTTTATTTGGTTTAGAGTTCACATATAAATGAAATCATGATAGTTTATCTTTGTATGAATTACTCCACTCAGCACAGTATCCCCTAGGTCCATCCATGTTGTTGCAGATGGCAAGATATCTTTTTTATGGCTGAATAATATTCCATTGTAGGTACCTATATAGGTACCATGTCTTCTTTATCCGTTGGTGGACACCCAGGCAGCCTCCATATCTTAGTTATTGTAAATAATGCTGGAGTGAACATATGGATGCACATGTCCCTTTGAAGTAGCATTTTGGGTTTCTTTGGATAAATACCCAGAAGTGGATTACTGGGTCCTTCTTTGTTTCTTGTTATAGCCCTTTTTTTAAAAAAAGATTTTATTGGGGAATTGGGGGAGGGAACAGCATTGGGGAGTCAGGGAAAGGGGACCAGACAAGTTGCTGTCCTTTTGTTCTTCGGTCTAGTTTTGGAGGATGTCGCTTCACTGGCCCATGGTGGTATTATCTTTGCACTCTTCCTGGGTGAGGCAGTCGTTTGCCAGCTACTGGACGGCCGCTCACGCCTGCTGCCGGCCAGCCCCACTGCAGCCTACGCCGTCGCCAGCGACTCACAGCAGCCCAGCTCCAGGTCAAGCTGTTGTTCACCATCTTAGCTATAGAGGGCACAGCGTCACTGACCCTCATGTGGGATCTGAACCGGGGCCCTGCTGCTCAGAGCTGGCGTCCCAAGCCAACACCTAACCAACATGTGCCACTCGGCCGGCCCTCATTTCAGTTATTTTAGTCATTTCTGGGTGGTTATGTTTTAGGTTTTCTATCTCCATTTTTGTTTCCTATCTTTTTGTTGAAGTTCTCACTGAGATTATTGAGCGTTCTTATAACCAGTGTTTTGAACTCTGCACCTGGTAGATTGCTTGTCTCTTGTTCTTTTTTTGGATTTTTGTTCTTTCATTTGGGATGTTTCTTTGCCTCCCCATTTTGGTCGCCCCCGTGTTTGTTTCTTTGTATTAGGTAGGGCTGCTGTCTCCTGGTCTTAGAAGAGTGGCCTTATGTAGTGGGTGTCCTGTGGGGCCCCGTGAAGCAATCTCCCTGGCCACCTAAGCTGGGTGCTGTGTGGGTCATATGTGTCCTCTTATTGTAGTTCAGCCTTGGTTGCTATTTGCACATCAATGAGAGGTACTGACCCTTGTGCTAACTGGTTGTGAGGAGTGGCCGTGAACTACAGTGGAGGAGCTGTGCTGAACCTACGAAGCAAGATTTGCTTTAGTGGGGCTCTGGTGCCTGCCCAGTCTGCCCTTTGGGTAGACTGCTGGAGGGTGCCCTGGATCTATCCAAGTGGGCCACTTGATGTGCCGGGGTGTCCTGGGAGGGGCCCCTGCCACAATCCAAGTTCAGCCACAGTCTGTGCCTTGCTCAGGTCCACCTGGTATGAGCCACAAAGAAATCTGCAGATGGCAGCCACCCCCGCTGTGCTTGGAGGTGCCTCGAGGGGCCAAGCCAAGATCCAAGGCTGGCTGCCGCTGGTGCTAGGATTGCGGCCACTTAGCAAGAGGCACAGGACACACCAAGGCAAGAGGCTGCTTGTTTGGATTTTGTAAACCTGAGAGATTTTAGGCAAGTCCACAAAATAAGCCCAGACAGGCCTTCTGTATAGAAAAGCTATTGAAAGTGTGAGTGGGTCGGCAAGTTGGGTGAGGCAGGGTCACAGGGAATCACCAGGGCAGTGCAGTGATAGCCAGGTTGATGAAGACTCATATGGGGAGTGGGGACAGCATAGCAAAGGAACAACGGGTTCTTCCAGCACTTCTGTCGGGAGGAAGGTCCCCTTCAGACCTCGCCTTGGACCCAGACAATTCAGTTCCTCCTCATACGACCCTGGCACCTTTCAACAGCTGCCCCAGCGCTGGAGCTCAGAACGAGTGAGTCCGTCAGTAAGTCTGTTCATGGGCCCTTCAAGAGGAACATCCCATCCCCTCCCAATCCCTTTTGATCCCATCTCTTATCCCACCTGTGCCATCCTGCACCTCACCCCACATGGCATTGGACCACACTTCCATCCCACTCCACAGTCCTGTCTCACAGTCCATCTCCCATTTCATCCAATCTCAAATCCCCATCCCATCCCACATCCCATCCGTAATCCCATCCCTACTCCCATCCCTACTCCGATCCAATCCCATCCCACCCCATCTCCTATAACATCTCTAATCCCTACTTCCATCCAATCCCATCCACCTCATGCCCTCCGATCCCAAATCCCAACCGACCTGCCATCCCATCCATCCCACATCTCAACACGTCCACATCACATCTCTACTCCCATTTCTATCCCACATCATATATCCGTTTCCCCCCTTCATTCTACCAATGCAGGGTTAAAATATACAACCAAGCTTGTGAATGTCATCCCATCTCATATCCACTCCCATCCTATTCCATCACCAATACCATATCCCGTTATTTCTCCATTATCATCTCATTTCCCCATTATCCCATCTCATCTCCCATTCAATACCCCATCCCTACTCTCATCTCATCCCATCTCACAGCCTAATTATATTGGATCTGATCTCCCATTCATCCCACATCCCATCTCACATCCCATTCCTTCCCATATTCTAGCTCTCATCCTAATCCCATCTGCTCTCATCTCCGATCCCACATCTCACATCCCATCAATTTCTATATCCATTCCCCATGCACATCCTGTCCTTCCTCCCATGTTCGGTTCCCATCTCTACTCCCATCAAATATCCAGTGCTTACAACTATCCCTTCTCTACACCCATCCATGCAATTTCTTACACATATCATCTCTGATCCCATTCTCATGATTCCACATCTCTACCTATCCCATCCAATCCCATCCATTTTCACTAGTCCTGTTCCGTGCCAACTCCTGTAAGATCCCACAATTCTTCAATCATATCCCACATTGCTTACCATTTTACATTCATGTTCCAATCCCATCACATTATCCAACTCACCCGACAACCCATCCCATCCAAAACCATACCACATCCTGAATCATGAAGTTAGATAGATACACAGGGCAAGATAGATAGGGACAGCTAGAAAGATATGTATAGAAATAGGTAGGTTTAGAGATAGGCATAGATAGATAAAGACTTAGATAAGGGATAGCTAGGTGGATAACATAGTTAGATACGTAGGATTAGACATAGGAAGAGCTAGATAGATATAGATAGGGCTAAATAGATATGAATAGTTAGATACATTAAAAGATAGGTAAGATTAGATAGGAATAGCTATGTACATACAGAGATAGGGATATATAGATAGGAATACACAAAGATATATAGAGTATGATGGGTAGGATTAGATAAATAGGCATAGCTATATATACAGAGGCGGACAGGGCTAGATAGCTAGGCATAGCTAGAGAGACACAGTTAAATATGGCTAATAGATAGGCATAGATATATAGATATAGATAGGTAGGATCAGATAGACAGGAATAGCTAGATAATTGCTAGATAGGTAGGAATAGATAGGCATAAATAGATACAGAGATAGTATTACATAGATAGGAATAGTTAGATATTGAGTTAGATATGTAGGGTGAGATAGATAGGGATAGTTAGACAGGTATAGATAGTGTGATAGGTAGGATTAGATACATATTTAGATAGGAATAGATAGATATAAAGTTAGATAGATAGGAATAGCTAGGCATAAATAGAGAGAAATAGATAGAAATACCAGGATACATATAGACTTGGATATGTAGGGCTAGATAGACAGGGATAGCTAGACAGATATAGGTAGAGTTAGATACGTAGGAATAGCAAGATAAATATAGTTAGATACATAGGGAAATATAGGCCTAGCTAGACAGATACAGAGTTAGAAAGGTAAATTAGATACAGAGTTAGATAGGGATAGACAGGCACAGATAGATATAGAGTTAGATATAAAATTAGATAGGGATAGCTAGATAGATATGTGTAAAGTTAGATAGGCAGAGCTATACATATACAGTTAGGTAGGATTAGATATATAGGAATAGCTGGATAGATATCGAGGTAGAAAAGTAGGGCTAGATAGGCATAGGGAAGTAGATATATAGGTAGGGATAATTAGATAGGCATAACTAGACAGATACAAAATTAAATACTGTTGGACAGATAGATATAATAGAGTTATAGATGGATAAAGAGAATGAGATGGATAGAAATAGAAAGCAAATGGAAGTAGATGGTGAGAGTGAAAAAAATATAGATAGAAGATAGGTATATAGATTACAGGAGACCGCCAGAGATAAATACACACACGCTATGTATGTATATATATCAGAAAGATGGAAAGAGAAAAAAACAGGAAAATAAATCAATGAAGGAAAGTTACATAAATATAAAGATTGAACGAAACAAAATCAGAAGGTAATGAAATTAGAAAAACAAAGATAGATGAAGGAAGCATACGAGAGAAGAGAGAACAAAGACAGAAGGTAGGGAAGATATAAAAAATATAGAGAGCATGAATGATAGAATGAAATATAGATTAACAGAAATATAGAAAATTGAGAATATGAAAACATTAGAAAAAAGTGGAAGTATAGAATAGAAAGATAGTTGGAAAGATAAACAGAATTAAAGACAGAAGGAAAGAGTGAATCAAAGTTAGATGGGTAAATAGAAAGAATGAAAAGTCAGGTATGAAGGAGAACAAGATAGAAAGAAAGACAATGAAACAGATTAGTAGGAACGAAAAAAGAAAAAAATGTTAAAACAATATGAAAACCACACTCCTGACTAGAAATTTCTGCTTTCCACCAAACTAACCATAACCTCATTTGGGAATATCTGAAGACAAACACTGCAATATATCCTTTTTAAATGTAAGTACACACATTTTAATTTATTCTGAACAATATATTTATATTTTAAAATCAGGACATGTATACATGTGACTATACAGCATGGCTGACACTTAGCCGTAGTCCATACCGATAACCTTCTTACAAGCATTTAGTGTGCTGACACTAGTCGTGTCACAGGCGGAGTAAGAATAAATACTAGTGCTTTTGGAACCACAGTAGTGAGCAACAGTGTGGGGAAAGAGGGCGCCTACACTACAGCAGGAACGACTCCCCAGGACTGACATGTGCAAAGGCGTAGATGTCCCCAACAGCCTCCCAACCTGACTGCGTGCACAGGGATGGGGGCGGGACACTGGACAGAGAGAAAAAGTGAATAAGTAGAGTTCAGACCAGGAAATGTGTTCATACCATATAAGAGCACTGCAGTTTCGCCGGGGAGCCCAAGCTGTCACCTGTGGTGTAGGTCAGGCCATCTCAGCTGCTGACACACACACATCCTCGTGAGGAGGAAGGCTGTCCTGGGCGGTGGGGACAGGCCTTTAGGTGAGAGCAAAGCTATTGTAGCTACAGCATTACTTGAACATCCCTAAACAATAAAGATGTTAATTGCTAAACAAGTGTACAAGCTGAAAAATGTTTTCCCATCCCGTACCCCAAGGATGAGCAGAGTCAATCCCTTGATTACATGATGGTGATAGACAAGCCCTTCATCGTGCTTTAGCAAGTGCGCTTAGGTTCCATACGCCAAAATTTCTACTTACTGCTACGAACTAACGTTTAATGTATTTCTTGAGTCAATACCAATGTCTAAGGACCCACTAAGCCTATGATGGACTTTCATCTGTAAGTTAGGCCCCCAGTAATGAAACTCTCCAAGGTTTTGAGCACACGTAACCCCAAGAAAAATTCAAGCCACCCTGTATAATTAGGTCCAGTCTAGGCAGGCATAGGAAGCCACAGTTAGCTGATTGATCAGGGCTTCTCAGAACTGGATGTTGGTTGAATTGAGGATTCCAGAAGTAGCATCAGATTTGGAGGCCTTTGAAAGTTCTCGCTGTTGGAAAATAAACAAGGTCAGTGGCTGTACTCCCTCTCATGCCTGCCCCGCCCTTATAAGCATGGGGAAGTGTCAGCCTATGGCCGCCTGAGGGCTGCTGCTCTGACACGGGTGCCCGGCACAGGCTGTGTTAGGAACCCTCTGAGCACCATTCTATTAGTCACAGATTAAGCTTCATGTGTACATATGCCCTTGACCCCTTTCCTCAGCCAGCCCATTGTTAAACGCCCCCAGGAGAGAAATCCCTTACACTTCACAAACGACTGAGTTGTCAAGCTAGGTGGCCAACAAGCTTTGGTGTTTTGAGCCCTTTATAAGACAATGGGCCAGACCAATATCTACCAATCGCTGGGGCTGAGGACCTTGTAACCTGCTGGTGATTTGATCTCATGCTGGAGCACATGGTATAGGAGCAGAAGATAAAGCATGAATGACTGCAAAGGACAGATGTTAGTAGAGGTTAGTCTACTGGCTTTGGTGCTGCCAGGTGCGGTCTGCTGCCCATAGGAGCCCATGAAGTATCCTAGACTTAATCACCGAGGTCAGCAGATACATTTAAGCTCCAACGGGATGAAATCGGGCTTGGCCGAGCAGGAAAAAAGAAAAAAAAAAAGAAACCTAGACCCTCTGTCCAGCAATCAGCTAGCCAGTGACACGTACCCGCTTCTATAGGTAGAGCCATACTTGTCATGAAATTTCGAAAAAGGGGCAGAATATGAAGTCGACGTCAATGCTCATAACGAGCTATATATAGCCTTGGCCAACTGGGCCGGTCTGCGCTGCGGCCATGGGGAGTGACGCCCTGGGCTGTACCCCAGCAGCCCCCACCTCTCAGTGAGAAGATGCTGAGGGGAGACAGAAGACACAGGAAGGGCAGGTACACATGGACCATGACACTGGGAGCTGACGAGCGTTGTGGAAAAATGACTCTCTTCCAGAGCCTCATATATGCTGTAGCAGCTCAACGTGACAGAAAGAGGCACAGGCACGGAAACGAGCGTTGGCAGACAGCTGCTTCAGCCCAGGTGTTAGTAAGGCACATACTCCAGGAAATTGTCATCACGCAGGCCAAGAACCTCGTAGGCAGCACACAGGTGGGGCGCCCTCCCCACGGGATGGGGCCTCTATTCTTTGCAGCATATTGGAGGCCTTTCGGGTCACAATCGGGGAGGGTGAAAGTTTTTTGCTGTGAAATCATATGATACAAAAGCTTTGCCTGACTTTAGGTGGGGCTGAGAATCCAATTCAAGTCTGAACAAGTTTTCTTGTTAATCAGCAGGTTAGTCTGTTGGGAACTGAAGCTAGACATGCATTTCTTGTGAAGTCCACATTAGGGATTCCCACTTCCTTTGTAAAAAAGGTTGTGACAGTACAGCTGAAGATCGTTGGTTAGTGCAGCCCTGTGCCCAGATGGGGAAGAAGCCAGCAGATGACAGAACAGTTTGGAAAGGGGACACGGGACATGCTGAGTTCGCCATACAGACCTGAAGCCCAACAGCGGAGCTGTCAGAGAGGGACGGGTCCTTCTAAGAACAGAGAATTCAGACAATTACCAAGAACTCCACCAAGAGAGCACCAGGGCCGCGATCAGAGTGTCGCCTCCTGCAGCCAGGGGATGGTATTTCTTAGGCAGAACGATCCAAGTTAAATGTGTGGTTGCTGCTGCCAGCCTCCTTCCTGTGTACCCCCCTTACCCACCCCCACCCCATGGTCAAGGCAGGAAAGGGATTCTCAGCCTCAAAGAACTGTCCTAACTACGAGCCTGGGTGCCCTTGGGAAGATACCCACTGCCCCAACTGTGTGCTCCCCAGAGACTGGTAGATGTTAGAAAAGGTGAATTACCGCAAACTCAGAATAGGTGCTGGCAACAGAATTAATGCTGAAGTTGCGCTGGAGGGGGGCCGAGCTGGGGTACCCACCGCTCAGGATGCTGCCATTGAGCTCCAGGTTCTCCTTGTTGGCGCCATGCCGGCCAGCACGAGGGGTTCTTTTCCCTGAACAGGTAGAAGTGAGGACTGGCTGTAGATAAAGGAAAGATAGATCAATGTAATATCCTTACAGTGAACGCGCACGTGCACGCAAACACATGCTGATATCATCTTTATATTAGCCATGTGTCTGTAATCCTACACAGTATTTCTGGTATAAAAAAATGCTCAACATCAGTAATCGTCAGAGAAGTGCAAATAAAAACCACAATGAGATATCACCTCACACCACTTAGAATGGCTGTCATCATCAAGACAAGTAATAACAAGTGTTGGAGAGGCTGTGGAGAAAAAGGAACCCTCATAGACTGCTGGGAATGCAGATTGGTGCAGCCGCTATGGATGGCAGTGTGGAGGTTCCTCAGAAAATTAAGAATAGAATTACCATATGACCCAGCAATCCCTCTCCTGGGTATTTACCCCCAAAATCTGAATACATTTATCCGTAAATATATATGTGCTCCAATGTTCTTTGCAGCTTTATTTATGATGGCCAAGACATGAAAACAACCGAAGTGTCCTTCGATAGATGATTGGATAAAGAAGATGTGGTATATACACACAGTGGAATACTATTCTGCCCTAAGAAAAGATGAAAAAGTGCCATTTGCGACAACATGGATGGATCTTGAGATTATTATGCTAAGTGAAATAAGTCAGACAGAAAAAAGTCAAGAACCATATGATTTCACTGATATGTGGGATAGAAAACTGAATGTAACAAAGGAACAAGACAAACAACTGAAGAAACAAAAACTCATAGACACACACACACACACACACAATAGTTGTTACCAGAGGGTAGTGGGGAGGGGGTAGTAGATGAGGGTCAACGGGATCAAATATATGGCGATAGAAAGAGAACTGACTCTGGGTGGTGAACACACCGTGTGATATATAGATGATATGTTACAGAATTGTACACTTGAAACCTATGTAACTTTCCAATTGTCACCCCAATAAACTTTAATTAAAATTTACACATATATACATATAATATATATACATATGTATGAATTCTTAATGATTAGCAGAGCACCTTGAGCATACTCTGTAAAATCCTTGAAACACTGAACACATTTTAGCACATACACCCTCATCTCCTTATGTGAGAGTATCTGACTGTCGAGTGACCCAGTGTCAGGGCAGGAACCCATGTGCAGGGATTTACTCAGCAGCAACTTAAGACCGGGACTTGCCTGAGTCTACAGAGACCACCACCTACTTTTCAATTTCCCAGTCCCGTCCCAGGGCTTCCCCACAATGCTCCTGGGCCTCAGATGGACCATTCTCTCTCTTTCAGTTTTCCGATTAATCGGCTTACATCTGTCAACTCTCAGCATCTCAACGATCACTGAATCCAGGGATCTTAGAAACTGGAACAGTATAGGTGGGGCCACCGGAGAAACAGGTTGGGGCGGTGTTGGGAGTGTGCTTGCACAAGGAGCTTACTAACCTTGCTGCCAGAAGGTGGAAGTCGAGACACTGGGGAGCGGTAAACTGTCCCCCCAAACACAGGCCGGATGGTGCTGTTGGCCGTGGCGTTGGATATGGTGGTAGTGTTCAGCTGAGGAGAAAAACAGATTACTGAGAAAACATGCTCAGCAACCTGTCCCGACACTACAGAGAAACGAGTACGAGGAGCAGTTTAAGAAAGATGGGTTTAGGGCCGGCCGAGTGGCTCAGCTGGTTAAGAGGTCGCTCAAGAGTGCAAGCTCTGAGCAATCGGGTCGCTGGTTCGATTCCTAGCCCGAGCTGAGCTGCCAACTGGTGGCAGGATGGCTCAGCTAAAAACAAACAAAAAAAGATGGGTTTACATGGTGAAGAGCTTTTGAAGAAACCTGTGAAACATGTTCAAAGCCTGTTTATGACCAGCAGGTGGAGCTGTAAAATGGTATAATATAACCATTCTGTTTCTAAAAGCTGGACAGACACCTATCACATGACCAGCCATAACACTCCTAAGTAGTTACCCAGGAGAAATGAAAGCATATCCCTATACAAAGCCTTGTCCATGAATATTTATAGCAGCTTTATCTCTAATAGCCAAAAAACTAGAAAGAAGGCAAAACATTCATCAATATGTGAATGAATAAGCAAATTGTGGTAGTCAGTCATACAAAGGAATACCGCTCGTTCAACAATAAAAAGTAGTGACCTATCGATACATGCAGCAATGTGGATGAATCTCTAAAGAAATTACGCTAAAGTGATTATGCTACATGAAAGAAGCCACACTATATGATATGAGTCTTTATATAAAATGTTAGAAAATGCAAATCAACAGTGACAGAGCCCATCTGTGGCTACCAGGAGCTGAGGGGGCGGGGAAGGGATACGAAGGGGCAAGAGGAAAAAATGTTTGGGGATAATGGATACATTCATCGTCTTGTGGTGATGGTTTCAGTGCACACATATGTCAAAACTGATTAACGTGTACACTTTAAATATCATGTGTCAATCTTAATAAAGCTCTCAAATTTTGTTGTAATTAGAAAATTTTAGGTGGATTACAAACCTTAAATGGGATAGTAAAACTATTCAAATACAAGACACAGACTAGGAAATACAACATATGAAAATATCTGTGTGGCTTCAGGTCATGGATGGATTACTTACAAAGTACAAGTACAAGCCTTAAAGAAAACAGATTGAAAACATTTTTACTGTATGAAAATTAAGAACTTCCTGTTCATTAACAAAATACCATAGAGAGTAAAAAGACAAGCTGCAAAACAAAATAAGTCAGACAGGAAAAGTCGAGAACCATAGGACTTCACTCATATGTGGGATATAAAACTGAAAGCAACAAAGGAACAAGACAAACAAAAACTCATAAACAAAGACAACAGTTTGTGGTTACCAGAGGTTAAGGGGGAAGGGGGGAACAGAAGAAGGTAGAGGGGGGTCAAATATATGGTGATGGAAGGAGAAGTGATTCTGGGTGGTGAGCACACAGTGCGATCTACAGATGATGTATTACAGGATTGTACACTTGAAACATATGTAATTTTACTAATCATTGTCACCCCAATAAATTTGATTAAAAACGAAAAAAAGTTCCAAGATAATCAACTAAAAAAGGAGATACAAAAAAGAAAAAAAAAAAAGACATTACACAAGACACACAGAAATACTGAGAAAAGCTATTATCACACCACCACCAAGGGAGTAGCATTCAGAACATAAAGAATTCCTATAAAATTCGTAAGAAAGAGACAAATGTTCAACTTCATTAGTAATTAGGGAAATGCAAACTAAAATAATGAGACACTACTTTCTACCCATCAGATGAACAAAAAAATTTTTAAGTTTGGAAATAGCACATGCTTGGCTCTGCCACTGGATATACACGTTGTTAAGGCCACTTCGGTATCGCAGACCAAGTGACGGGTGGGCTGGGCCGTTAGAAACGTCTGAAAGCAGAACTGAGAGCAAGGACTGCCACTTGTACTCTCAGCATCTGGCACAGAGGTTCTCAGCATTATAGTGAAAACAAACCTTTCTAGAAATGAATTTTAGTGTGATAATACATGTTTTTAAAAGTTCATCACAGGGCCGGCCGAGTGGCTCAGTTGGTTAAGAGGTCGCTCAAGAGTGCAAGCTCTGAGCAATTGGGTCGCTGGTTCGATTCCTGGCCCGAGCTGAGCTGCCGCTGAGCTGCCAACAGGTGGCAGGATGGCTCAGCTAAAATAAATAAATGAATGTAAAAAAAAGTTCATCACCTTATTTTCATAGTAGTATCAAGCAGGGAAATAGAGTGTGTCAAGAGGACACAATATACAGCTAAGAAGAGTGTGTATCCGAAGAAAGTCTGCTATGAAAAAAACCACAACCAATACAAAATAGGTAAAAAGGCAGAGATGACAATTATATGCTGTGATCTCTATTTTGTAAAAATATATTATTTCAAAAAGCTTTTTAAAACAAGAAAAACACCAGATAATGTCAGTGGTACTCTTGGAGTTATATTATAGGTGATTTTCGAATGTTTTATGTGTTATGAAGTATGAGTAGAGACAGAAGGGCAATAAGGCTCTACTTGTCAAATGGACTCAAACTGAAGTCCAGCGAAACCCTTTCCTCAACTCTGCAGGACAAAAGGCAAGGTGACCTCCAGCCCTGCCCCTCGCCAGCAGCCGTCCAGGGCCTGCCACTACCTTGCGCACTTTGCCCGGCGTGGTGGGTGCCAGTCCTCGCCGCTTGTTGGGTGTTCGGGGTGCACTGCCATACAGCATCTCTGTTTCCGTCTGCTTCTTGTTCTTCAGTTGCTGTGTGAAAGTCAGAAGCAACTGTGATACATCCCAGGCAGAAAACAGGTCTGGGGCTGGGCGGGGCCAGAACCCTGCTGCCAAGTCTCTGCACCCAGAGCTGCCTCGAGCGCTGGCAGAGTGGCTGCTCACAGGACCACCTCCCCCTCTTCCCAAACTGTCTTCACGTACCCTCTCCTGCTTGGCTCGCTCTTTCTCTAATCGGTGCATCTCCCACTGTGCTGTCACATACTCCACGAACTTCTGCCCGTTCACCACAAATGGCTTCGTGTGCTCCTGTTCCCACATTTCAATCTGCACCTTCAGTTCCTCTTCCAGCTGAGACAAGACACAAGGACATGTTAATTACTTCAAATCTTTGGTGTGAAGCAGACTTCAGGGAGCTGGACCCACTTGCGAAATCCAAGTGCAGGGATAGTTCCTACACGAAAGGTGAGGACCAGCGTGTGGCCACCGAGGTGTTGGTGCTGAAAGTCAGAGGAGCACCGGGGAGGAGCGCCCACAGCAGAGGCGGTGATAGAAGAGGAGTACTACCTGGATTCCAGCCTGGAATCTACCTCCTACCAGCTGTGAAAAGGTGGGCAAGTTACTTTGGACCCAGAGGTAATTCAGTTAAAATGAGGTCATTAGGGTGGATCCTAAACCAGTATATCTGGTGGTAGCCTAATAAAGAGAGATAATGTGGACACAGACACACACAGGGAGAAGACATTATCTATAAGCCTCAGAAACCAGGCCTGTCGACACGTGATCTCAGACTTCCAGCCTCCAGAATTGGGAGAAAAGAAATGTCTGTTGTTCAAGCCGCCCTGTCTGTGGTACTGTGTTATTGCCACCCTAGCAAACTAATCCACCTTGACACTCAGTTGCTTAAACTAGGAAGGCATAGTCTTACTTATCATCCTTGCCCTACCTTTGGGAGAGAAGACAGTTTGGGAGCAAATGATTATACAAAAAGCAAGGTATTCTGCAGACAAAACTCTTAGCAACATTACCTTAGGAAGTGTTTTCTGGAGCTTGGCACGTTGCTTCTCCTCTTTTAGAAGATTTCCTCCACGATTTGTAAATCGACTTGGATCTGAAGCTTTTCTCTGTGAAAATATATTTTAATCAGTGAGCCCCAGGACAGGCAGTCAGACCAACAACTTCTGCTAAGACTTGCTGTCAACCACGGATGCTTATTAGTAAGGAGACTTTCCGAGAGCTTTGCATTCCCACAACTCCCTCTCGGCAGTGAGGGATGGCGGGGTCCTGAGGCAGGGAAGTGGGGTGTGAGCACTCCCGCCATGTGCAGGCGCACCCACTGGGGTGCAGGAAAGCTACTGTTTCCTTCTGATCTAAAAGGGAAGACAGACTTTAATATTTAATGCCCAATGTCAGTGGCTCCCTTCCTTGGTTTGGATGTCAAATGATTACATGTCAGTTACAGGAAATGAGCTCGTGGAGAGACAAGGAGAAGGTCTATCTATACTCAAGAGTTTGTTGGCAGCAACCCTACTTGCCCACTCACTTCCGGCCTGTCGAGACAATGCAGCCTAAATGTGCCAAGTTAAGGGTTTTAGAGATAACCTGGCTTTTAGTAAATTAATCCTCACAAAATGGACAAGTAGAAAAACGTAGTATGTTAGGCTTCGTATGCTTTTGAACTTTTCTGTTTTTTGTTATTCTATCATGTATTCAGTGTATCAGAACAGTAATATGACCATATCATTTATAAATACAAGTTAGGTGTATACCCTCAAAATTAGGGGCAGGTAATCAGCAAAGTTGAGAGCTAATCCTGACAAAATGGGGGCTAAGCTTGTAAAGAAATTCCATTTCCCTTGCAGCCTGCTTGGTTGGTGACAACCTGTAAACAATAATTACAGGGGATGGTAATTAACCTCTTATTTTTCTTAAATACTTGCATTTCACAAGGATTATTTGCCTCTTTATTGACATTTACTCCGCCTCCTCCTTGCTTTCAACCAGAACACCTGATCTTAAACAGCTGTAAGACCTCACTCAATTCTCTCCACTTACGAGTCCTGGTTTCCCACCTGTGAACTTGAGGAGTTGAATTCAGAACTCTCTGAAGCGCCTGTGTGAACCTGAGAATGGGTCTGCTTGATTTTGTGCCCACGGCGCCTCATCCTAGTCCCAGTCCCGAGATCTAAAATGCTCTGAGGGAACCTGTCTGCGCTACGTTGGTAAGAAAAGAAATTCAGTGTATACAAATGTGCCCCAACACCTCGGCAATTTTCTGAAAAAACAGCAAGAGTTGGGATGGTAGAGAGTATGAGTGGCCTGGCCCGATGTCTGTCCTTCTCTCCTTCCTTAGGAGCAGGACCCTAACTCCTCTGGGGCAGCAGTGCCCCCAGCCTCGCCAGCAGCGCTGCGGCATATGAAGATGAGCAGAGGCGCCGGGAAGAGAGCCTGGGCAGTGCCCTTGGGGGGCTGGAGGGGCAGTGCCTTCTGTGCTCCCTCCTCCACCATGCTGCCTGAAATGCCACGGCGGGGACTCTGCAGCCAACTGGACCCTTTGTGCCAGGGGGGCCTCGAGCTGGAGAAGCCTGAGAACCCCTGACTGTGGAACTGCCACCCCTGCCCTGCACTGCCTACCTCTGGGCTTCCTGTGTAAGAAACTTCCTCATTTAAGCCATTTATTTTGGGTTTCCTCTTACATGTTCCTGCACATAAGACTAACAAATGCAGATGGGTTAGCAGTAATTCTGAGACTTAATGATGAAGACAGGGTATTATCAGAAGCCTGGTGAAGAGCAAAAACTGGGCTCTGACTACACAGGACATGCTTGACACTTCACTGTCCTTTAAGGAAAAGAGACAATTTTAGGACAGTACCTCAAACTCTAAGAAAAGCCTCCAGCTTTCTTCCCACTTCTGCACACCTTCGAAGAGTTCTTTGTGACTCTCGTAGTAGTTTCTTAACCGCACAATCTCAGCATCGTGGAGCTGGAGCAGATTTTCTGTGTAGTCCTCTGCAAGACACAGTCCCAACAGTTGAGAAAGATTCCTCTAGTGTTTAGAATCCCACTTTACTAATCCCTCATCCCTCTGAAATGCCAACTGATTCTTCATGATAGTAAAACTGTTCCATGAATAACTATACATTGTGGCTCATAAAAGCCAGGTGCGCCACGATCAGCCTGGGGGGAGCAGGGAGTAAGGGACTGGGGTGCACCCTCTTTCACCTGTCTTAGGAGTCTTTGCCTTTCCACCCTGCTCAACAGAGGGCTGGGCCACAGAAAACGCCCCCAGTGTGGAACTGAACAGATGGCCTCATCTTTATAATATTCAGTTCCGGTGAGAATTCTGTTGGGCTCTGGGGTCAGACTCTGTGGGCTCAAATGTGAGCTCTGCCCTTTACCTGCTGCGTCTCTGGTTTAAGTTACTCAACGTTTATGTGCCTTCCTGTCCTCATCTCTTGACATGAAGATTAAGTGAGATAATATTGTTAAGAGTTTGACATTGCACCTGGATAAACTTGAGCTTCACAACTATAGGCTACAGTGATGTAGAAATCAAGAGATCCCTTATTTCCCAGTAGCATTTGCAAACACTTATTTGTGCAGGAATGGCAACTTATGCTGAATGGGCTCAAAAGGTAGTTATATCTCTTCAGCAGAGGAAGTACTTCCGAGTAAATGTTTGCACTTTTTCACAAGTGCAGGCAACATAAACACCACTGCTTCTGGACTAACCATCATAGTAAGGGGCAAAACCCTGTCTCTGCTCCTGACTGTAAAAACACCTGTCCCAGTACTGAGCCAGCTCCACTCGAATCGCCTCGATCACTTTCTTCATGTTTTGCATTTTCAGTTCTTCCAAACGATCCACTTCTAATTGCAGCTGAAACAGAGAGGTTTGTTAAAGATCCTTGCCACATTTTACATTCACTAGCTTTGCAAAATTTTTCCCTTTCTAATAAAATCACAACGTAAAACCACAGAGGTTAAGTCACCCCTTTGATATCCAAGAGCCAGAAACCTAAGAAACTTACACAAAAGATAAAAGACAGATTGCTGCCACCTTTTTCTGATGCTTGTTTTAAAAATAGGCTTGCTCAAAGCAGAAGTTGGTAAAGATATCAGACTTAACACAAAAATATCCACAGTGACTGCTGACCCAGCGCCCTCTGGGTTTCTTACCGCTTTCTTGACCTTGGCCTTTGACCCAGTCATAACCATTGCCACCGCTTCTCTCTCTTCTGCTGGAATCTGCAACCTGTCCCAGAGCTCTTGGATCTGAGCACGCAGCCCCTCACACACTGCTTCATTCTGTGATTTTCGCATTTCCAGCTGTAGCAGGAAAGATGGTGGTTACAGCAAAGACAGTAGCACAGAGGCCAGTCCTCTTGCCTCCCACAAAGAAATATCTGCACCCACATGGAAAAGCAGCACTTTTTTTTGTTTGTTGGGTTTTTTGTTTTGTTTTGTTTTGTTTTTTAAGACTTTTATTGGGGAATTGGGGGAAGGGGAACAGACAAGTTCTATCCTTTTGTTCTTCAGTCTAGTTGTGGAAGACGTTGCTTCACTGGCCCAAGTTGGCACCATCATTGTGCTCTTCCCGGGTGAGGCAGATCAGTCGCCGGCTTCTGGACAGCCGCTCACTGCGGCTGCTGGCCGCTCACGCTGGCTGCTGGCCACACACAGTAGCCCATGGCAACCCACTGCCGCAGGGGCTGCAGCCTATGCGGTCGCCAGTGACTCACGGCAGCCCAGCTCCAGGTTGAGCTGTTGTTCAGCATCTTAGCTGTGGAGGGCAGTGTCACTGGCCCTCATATGTGGGATCCGAACCGGGGCCCTCTGGAGTCCCAAGCCAGCTCTTAACCAACGCGCCACTCGGCCAGCCCAAGAAGCACTTTTTATAAGATTGTGAAGAAGTTTGTTTTCATGGCTTCTAAACACAAACTGTAAAGCTGTCATTATAGTAGGCTCTCAGACCCCAAGAATTAGGATTCAAATTCTAAATTTAAATTTTTAAAAATTAAACACTAATAATTGAATGATTTATTTGATCCAAAATTTCAATTTCATATTCTTAAAGCTATATATAAATTAAGTTTTTTGTTAATAAAAAAAAAAATCAAGGTTGCGTGTCATATAATACCATCTTTATCCTGCCTCGTTCTCTTAACTTACATTGGCTCTTTAACACCAAAAGAGAAAGAAAGTCACTTTTTTCAAATTGCTGGATACTATGGAGATCCCAGGCCATAACCTGAGTAGACATTACCTGCAGTAACAACTTCTGTAGTGTTGCAATATTCTCCAAAGATAAACAGAAGGCATCTTCATCTTCACACACGACATCTCTTTCGAAGCTTGTGTCTGGGGTGTGATCTAATTCTTCCATACACAGTATGATCTGTCTCTTTGTGTTGACAAACTCCTCACGCCTAGACGCCTATGAAACGAAAGGATTATAAGGTACCAATGGAGAGTCACGCTGCCTTTTAGGAAGTATGGATGCAAGCAGTGTACCTTTGTTTCCCTCAAGGATGCCACGTGCTGCCTGAACTGGTTCAGCTCCTCCAAGCTGGGGACTGAGGCGCTGTCGATGTCATAGTGGGGCATGCAGAGAACTTCACACAGTTCTTGGTCTTGGTCTTGGAGTCGTTTCAGTTCCTGTTTTCTTTCCTTTTTCTGTTTTCGCATCAGTTCTACCTGAGTACGCAAATCCTTTTCTAGTTGCAAGATAGTCGGCTCTCCTTCTTCCTGTATAAGATGAGGGACCATGGTACAAAGTTCCAAGTGGATTTCCTCAAAGGAAAACTAGGACAACGAACGAGGGCTCGAATGACACTTTTAAACTTACAAATAAGTCAAATCATGGACAACAGAATGTGGCACAAAGAGGGTCCCCTGAGGAGAGTCTCCAATAAGGAAAGGTACTAGGGCACCTTTGCAATAGGTGAAAATTGGTCGGAAAGCTTGTTTTGAGTTAGCTGTAGGGTGGTGTATTTAGCTTATAGCTAAATGCTCATCCCAATAATCCTAAGAATATTACCTAACCAATAAAAATCAATTTAGTACTCCTTGCTCTACTCCTAACCGATAAACAGAAAAAAAAGTGGCTGTTAAATGTCCTATAAATTTTACTCAACACAGGTGATCTAAGACCTGTCATGTAATTTAAGGGAGATGTACCACTATATAGGTAAGTTCTCACCAATGTCACATTTAAAGTTTTTTAAAAAAAGACTAAAGACAGAAACTATTTGTCCAAAATCAATGATCTTTATGCCGATTCTGTTAATTCAAGAAAACTCCACTGATGTCGCAGTCTGCCTGACTGCTCTTGGCTGTCACGTATGAACGATCCTTAACCCTTCAAAGGCAGCCTCCCCCACTTAGGCTGACCCGGCCTAGATACCCAGGCAGTTAGTGCTTCCTGTAACAGGGAGAGGCCCCTGAGAACCTTATCGGTGCCACATAAGCCATCATGTGCCGTCTCTGCATGCACATCTATTCTAATTACCCTCCCGAGATCCATGTTTGTCTTCATTTCTATGATGCGGACACTGTTTTTACTGGTTCTAACCAACCAAGGACCTGTTTTGGGCCCCATCTGTCACTGCTTTCATCCTTGCTGGTGTCCCCATTCAAGCCCCCGGCTGTGCTGGACCACAATGCAGCAGCCTCTCAGCTACAAACACAGATAATCACGGCACAGTCTAAATGTGACTGCTCTCCTGACACCAAAGCTTTGGGGACATTTCTTCTCAAGTGGCCATGTTGGCTGGCTCAGTGGTGTGCAGCTTTTGGGTCTGAAAAAACCCCACAAAGGCAGGTTTTTGGGTAACTTTCCCTTATGTCACTCGTCACTTTTGCTTCCTAGGTAGTTCTTTTCATTTTCTTTCCAAGAAAACATGGCACAGTATCATCTAGGACTAACTTTTCCTCGGAGTTAAGAAATGTTTTGTAGGCCTCATAGACTGACGGCAAGAGAGCCTGTTTTTGTTGCAGCATTCTTTGCCGCTTCACCTCTCAACAGGGCAACCCTTCATATAAGTAAAAGTCACTCTGCTGGGACTAGTTAACTGGGCAGCACTTTCCCCCTCTCGTGTCCAGGACCGGCCCCCACAAGGACACCTTCGACCTCAGAGCCAAGCAGCAGCCCAGGCCCTGCCACGTACCTGGAAAGGCTCCACGTGTAACTCGCTGCACAGGGTACTCAGCTCTTTTTGGCAGATGGATATGCTTTTGATGAGCCTTTCCTTCAGGCTTTCCTCTTCAGCAATCATCATATCCAGGAGGTCCTACATGACAGAAAACAGTCCCATAAAAGTTTGGGACCAATGGGAACAAAGGAATGAGTAACACCAAAACCCTCATAATTTCACATTTTTAAGAAATGACTCAGAAACCAGGAAGAGCCTGTGACGTCTTAGTGTCACCGCTATAAGCTATCTCAGACGAGATACCAACATCCGTATCCCATCCCACTGCAAAGACACCAGCACTAAACTCACCTTGATATGCTTCTTTACAACCTCAGTTCTTTGTAACCGCTGGTCCTCGGGAATTCCAATTAATTCCCATATTTCCCGAAGGTGAGTCAGGGCTTTCTGGAGACATAGTATGGACTCCTCTGCGAGCACTTCACTGAAAAGCAAGAGAAACCAGCTGCATGAGCCACTGCCTGCAACATACTAACAGCAGGCTTTAGAGGAACTGAATCGTTTCCCGGTGGCCTCAAGGCTGAGACAAAATGAAAACAAGCATTCAGCTTAATTCACCTTTTTCCACTCCCCTCTCCTCCTCCCCCCCAACACGGGCACAGCAAAATTCCGTATCATATTACATCGTGGGCATTCAATCTTCTGAATAATACTCAGAATCTGACTTTCAATGACTCTTCCTATGGCAGTATAACACAGAATCAGAAATGCTTTCCTTAAAGAAAATACAAAAAGGTCAGTAAAATAAACTCCCACCTAACGCAAGAGTTTGCTGGCGGAAAGCGCCTATAAAATAGTTGGCAATTCATCACGATTTTCCTGTTGTTCTGAAATTACAACTATTAACTTACAGAACTGCTAAAATAAAAAAAGACAAACATCAAGGGATGGTGAGTACAGAAAAGCCAGAACTTTCACATACTACTGCTTGGAGTATAAGTTGCTACAACCACTTTAAAACTGTTGGCAGTATCTACTAAACTGACCCCAGCACTTCCACTTCTGAGCACATATGTACCATGCAGAAGTGCACCAAAGACACGCACAGGAATGATCAGAGCGGCACTACTCCTAATAGCACAAACCCAGAAACAACCTAGATGTGCATCGGCAGAGTGGAAAAGCAGTGCCTCCCACAGCGGAATAATACAGCAATGAATACACAACATGGGTAACTCAGAAACATCACGTGAACTATGCTGAGTCAGAGAGCTCAAACCCAAAGAAACTGCACACTATACAATTCCACTTTATGAAATCCTAGAAAAGGCAAAACTATAGTGAAAGACAGCAAACTAGTTGCCTGGGATCAACAGTAAAAGGGCACAAGGGCACTTTTTTAGGGTGATGGCATGGTTCTAGATCTTGATGGTGATGACCTAGCTGTATATAATGACCAAAATTCAAGCTAAACATTTAAAATGAGTTGAATTTACTGTACATAAATTATACCTTAAATTTTAAAAAAAAGAGGAAAAAGAAACAACTAATGTGAAAAAACAAAAACAAGTTGGGGAAGAGAAGGAAAACCTGAGTGAAAGAAGCCAGACAAGCAAGCGTATGTCACACTACATGACTCCATTTATATAAAGCTCAAAACCAGGCTAAACTAAGCCATGCTTTCAGAAGTCAGGGCAGTGGTTGCCACCGTCCTGGGAGGTGGTAGCCGGGAGGGGGCGCATGGAGGGCTCTCACACAGGGTGTGCTGACTTCATGAAAACCCATTAAGTCTGCACTTCATTTGTACACATTTCTATATGTGTGTTATTCTTCAATTACAAAGAGGTTATTTTAAAAATTATTCACTGTTTATCTGAAATACAAACTTAATTGGGCACCTTGTATTATTTTTAAGAAGTGTGCTGTTAAAAATGATAACCATTTGGGCCTGCCGAGTGGCGCGATGGTTAAGAACTGGCTTGGGACACCAGAGGGCCCCGGTTCGGATCCCACATATGAGGGCCAGTGACACTACCCTCTACAGCTAAGAACAAAACGACAGCAACTTGTCTGTTCCCCTTCCCCCATTCCCCAGCACTGTTCCCATCCCCCCAATTCCCCAATAAAAAAAAAAATGATAACAATTTAAAGAACAGATTTTCTCTCCTTTCTTAGGTGACACTGGATGACAAAGAGGCTGCTCTGGCAGCAGAGAAGCCAGAATCTGCGTGTGCTGTGCCACCAGTCAGCGTAAGGCCTGGCACCAGTCCCTTAAGCTCCTCCTGTGCTGTCTACAGGTGGGGGGGCTAGAGGCACTCGGTGGCCCCCTTTCTGTCTCAGTGTATTCAGTGGCTCTGAGTTACCATCCTAGGTGGCCCTGAACACCAGTTTCTCCACAGTGTGAGACAGGACAAGGATCTCAAGGTCTGGGTGGTTCTTACTAAATGCTATTCTTGCTAAATGTCAAAATGAAGCACAGTATTTTGCAAAGGCAGCTGTACCTGGATTAGTTTGACCCTGACCCTGGAGCCCAACTGATGCAAAGGAGAGATCAGTATGTAATCAACCAAACAGTGTATATAAGCAGTGGCTAACCATTTGAAGAGACATAGCTTGGATGTAAACTGTCTCCTTGACTCGCTCTAAGTAAACAAACAGCCTAAGGACAACCACGTCACATTGGTGAATAGAGCACCCCAAGCAGTGAACCCCTTGAGTTCTGTAACAGTAGGTTTAATATATTCACACCCAAGACATTTCTCTAGCTAAGATATCCCAAGTTAAAGGTTGCCTGTCCTAATTGAAGAAAGCTTTTGCACAAATATCAGTGGCCTACACCAGATGACCAATATTGATACCCAGACCCAGATAATGAACAGTGTTTACAAGAATGTAATGTACTCCATTCATTTTACAAATGTTAACAGGTAATTAAGGCATTCACTTAATATAATCTCAATTAACTAAAGTTCAACTATAGAGCTTCCCCGGGCAAACAATCCCTTTGCACTTCACTTTTAAGACAAAAGAATGCATTTGTTAAAAACTCTCATTTTAGCATTTTATTAAAAATAACCAGGCCGGCCGAGTGGCTCAGTTGGTTAAGAGCTGGCTTAAGAGCGCAAGCTCTAAGCAACAGCGCCGCCAGTTTGATTCCCACAGGGGCCAGTGACGCTGTGCCTGAGCCGAGCTGTCGCTGAGCTGCCAACAGGTGCCAGGATGGCTCAGCTGGTGTAACAAGATTGCCTGTTCAATAGTGGGCTATGCCCACCCGCAACTAAGACGGAACTCGGCATCTTGAACTGAGCTGCCGCCTGGATGGCTCAGTGGATAAGAGCGTGCACTCTTAACAAGGCTGCTGGTTCAACTCCCACATGGGATGGTGGCTACGCCCACCCGCAACTAAGACTGAACAGAGCACCTTGGGATTAGAGGCCACGAGCTGCCAATGGGAAGCCAGATAGCGACTGGCGTCCTCCACAACGAAGACTGAAGAACAACAACTTGGCTGCTCCCCTTCCCCAATTCCCCAACACTGTTCTCCTCCCCCAATTCCCCAAGAAAATCTTAAAAAAAAAAAAAAAACCTACAAGATCTAATCGGTGGTCAATATTCAATTGACCGCAAAACCCAGGAGTCGAGCCAGACCAGCCTGGGGTACGGCTCTGACGGTCACTGCTTCAGGGTGCTGGACAGTCTCCTCCAGTCTGACTGGCCCCCTATCCTAGCCTATGTCCACATGAGAGCTAGGTTCTCAGGACACCAAAATCCAGTCAGGTGCCTGCTTCACTACTCCCCTCCAAGCTTCCCACTGCCCCCAGGAAACAGTTCAGCCTCCACGTTTGTCTCCTAATCCCTCCCACCCCACACTCCCTAAAACTCCAGCCAGCTAAACTCCCTGGGTGCTCCCCGGACAGAGCTTCTCACCCACGTGTGGCAGCTCAGTTTCTGGTGCTGCCACAATTCTGCACGTCACCGTCCTCCTGCCAACACCTGCACTGGACAGCTGTGAATTCCTCAGTCACCTCCCTCCAACCCAGCTGGTGTAACAAGATTGCCCAGACGACCCTGAACTCAAGGGCAGGGACCACATCTTCTCCGTCTTCATTGTACCAGACCCTGATGCACAGTCATGGTTCAATAACTGTACAACCAGTGGCCCTGAACTCCTGCAGAAGGTTCACTATGTTCTAACTTCTAGCTACCCTCAGGCCTCATGCACTGACAAATAGATTTACAGGTGGTGCTGCCTAGCTCTGCAAAACATCCAGCGCGTAAAGTGATTCCTTTCCTGAAAAATAAGAAGTCTGGCACAGGATCTGAGTAGACATTTCTCCAAAGATACACAAATGGCTAGTGAGCACATGAAAGGACGCTCAACACCTTTAGCCACCAGGGAAATGCCAATCAAAGCCACAAAGAAAGACCACTTCCCACCACTAAGGGGGTTAGAATGAAAAAGGCAGTGGCAAGTGTTGACAAGATGTGGAGAAATGGAACCCTCATACACTGTTGGTGGGCACCCTCACGCACCGCTGGTGGACTTGAACATAAGCACTGTGATACCTCCAGAGGCAATCTGATAATGGTGCAGCAGCTTAGGAAAACAGTCTGGCAGGTCCTCAAAGTTAAACACAGAGTGACTACATCACCAAGCAATTCCACTCCTAGGTATGTACCCAAGAGAAATGAAAACATATGCCCACAGAGACACTTATACACAAATGTTTATAGCAGTATAATTTATAATAGCTCCAACGCGAAAACAACCCCAATGGCCACCAACCAATAAATAGGTAAATGTGATATATCTATGCAATATAATATTAATCATGTCAATTAACCTTGAAAACATTATGCCAAGTGAAAGAAGCCAGTCATAAATGAGGACATTTCAAATGATTCCATTCATTTCAAATATTCAGAACAGGCACGTCTTAGAGACAGATTAGTGGTCGCCTGGGGCTGGGGTGGGGAGAGGACTGACTGCTAATGGGTTCGGGTTTTTGGAAGGGATGATGAAAATGTTCAAAAGTGGTGATAGTTACACAACTCTGAATATATTAAAAATCATTAAATTGTACACTTTAAGTAGGTGAATTGTATGGGGATTACACTTTAAAGCCATTGTTTTAAAAAGTTTGGCACATAAATCTTAAGGTTTTTTGATTTGTAACTTAACTGAAAAACAAATATGACTGCTAATTAATTTAGTCAAACAAATTACTTCTACAAAATAAAATGACATGAGATTGAGACAAAATTGTAGATTTCAAACCCAATTAAAATCAAGACAAATATCTACGTTATAGTTCCCCCTTATCTGCGGGGGATACCCCAGGGAGTGCCTGAAACAGCAGACGATTTGCACCAACCTAATATATACGAGTATGTGTGCATATATATATACATATTAAATATATATACATAACACACACACACACACACACACACACACGGTGCCAAAAAAATGTATACACATTTTAAAAAAGGAAAACTATATTAAAATTGTAATACTCAATATATACCGATAACAAAAGATGAATACAAGTCACATTTGACTTCTGTAATTACAAGAGATGCTCAAAGTAGTTACCATCAGCGTCCAGACACTTCTGATTACGGTGAAGTACTGCTTGGGCAACGTTGACCAAAGTGTCCACTTGTATACATATTTTTGGCACCATATATATTTCCCTAAACATAAACACCTTTCACTTAAAGGAAAGGAAGCACTTTCCAGCTTGTCTTTGGCGTGTCTGAATGATCACTACTCTTGCGCTTTGGGGCCTTTAGAAGGTAAAACCAGGGGGACTTTTAACACCAGCACTACAGTCAATCTGATAACAGAGACGGCTACTACGTGACTTAGGGGCGCGGAGAAGCTGGACAGCAAGGGATGGCTCCCGCCGTGGCGGATGGGCGCAAGAGTCCATCTCACTACTCAGAGCGGTGTGCAAGTTAACACTCATGAATTGTTTACTTCTGGAATTTTCCATGTAATATTTTTGGACCACTGCTGACCATGGGTAACTGAAACTGCAGAAAGCAAAACCACAGATAAGGGGTGGCTGAACCGCAGGAGATGGGCCACTAACTAAAAGCAGTATTCCCACAATTTGTTATAATGAAAAAGCTAACCCTCTCTTGGAGCTGGTTACTTTAACAAACCTTACGTGGCCAGTGGGAAAGTGGGTGTTTGCAATTATCATATATTCTAGCTGGAGACTGTTCTCATGAGAGTACAGTTTTCAAAGTACAATTTATAAATTTCAAAGAAAACAATTTTCCACTCTTCACAACATTCAAATTGTATGAACTTAATTCTTACATCATTCTGACACCTCTTCTTAACATTGCCACCATCAGCCTTACTTCGAAAGACAGAATCACACTACTCCCGGGCCTGCCACTGCCGCCCTGGTCCAGGTCACACCATCATCTCTTGCCTGTGCTGCCACGGCCTGTTAGCAGGTCTCCCTGCTTCTGCCTTGGCCTCCTCAAGCTTACTGTCAACACAAGAGACACAAGGCTCCATGTCTTCTCAAAATCCTCCAATGATTTGCTATCTGAGAGTAAAAGCCTCGGCCTTTACAAAGGCCTCTGGACGCTGCTCCAGCCACTCTTTTTGGAACCCACAGGCACTCTCTGACCTCAGGCATCAGGCTTGCTGACCCGTCTACCTAGATCTGTCTTCCCCCACATGTCCCAAGGCTTGGCCACTTGCCTCCTTTAGGTCTCTGCTCACAGATCACTTTCTCCGCGAACCCTTTCCTACACCTTCAGTGCTCCTTATTCCCTCTCTCTTCTTCATTTCTCTCCATAGCACTATTACCATTTAATGTAAGATTTACTTATTTATTTTGTTATTAAAATGTAAACTCCAAAAGGGCAGAGAAATCAGTTTCGTTCACTGCTGAACTCCCCAACACTTAGAATGGTACCTTTTACATAACAAACATTCAAGAAGTATTTTTTGATTAATAACGCGATGGTTCAAAAAAGCTGTACGATCATAAGATGCCTCAGTACAATCATCGTGAATAATAAATATCATGGAACAATTATATACTGCCTCACTAAATTCCCTAAAAGGTGCAAATTTGAGATTTTTTTCCTTATAAATACATCAACTAAAAAACTGAGGGTGCTTGCAAGAATACCACCCAAGGACACAAAGGTTGTAAAAAGGGCCAGTTTTTCCAGTCTCTTGAAACTAAGTCACTGGACTGTTAAAGATCTCAAATGGTCCTCTAAATGATTTCCTACCTTCAGGCAGCAGTCACTGATGCACTTTTCCCTACTTTTCCTAAACAGACTTTTGTTAAGCTCCATCTGTACAACCTGTTTCAGGAATCGATAACCAGTAGTTAATTCAGTGACCAATCTGATAAGCATTGTTTCTCAGGCCTAGTTCTCATTCCTTTCTAAATATGAACACCTGGAATCCCGGGTACCCCAAAGTCTGGTTTTGTGAGTAGAATAATTCCAGTTGCTGTTTTAAAGCCGAGTTATACCCGTCAGCCTGGAACCAAAGTTAATTGATAACTTTCCCCTTCATTCACTCTGTTGAAAGCAGAAGATGCCTCAACAAAGCAAAAACAAACTTGGAATAAGAGTTACGTAAAATGTCACTGAAGGTTTTCCTTGTCCTCAGAATGCAATATTAACTTAAAGGCACAGCAGCTTAACTATGCTGTCCTTTAGATAATAAGATATTTGTAATCCATAACCTTACATGGACGTGTTTTTCCAATGGTACCAGTGATTTGTACTCACTCAATTACCATTTCCCCAAGGGCAAGCATTTGAAAAAAGAACGGTGGGAATTAGTAATCATGTAACCAGGAACCTTACAAGGCCATACAGCTATCAGTTTCACCAAAACCAAGAAATTATTTAATACTCATTCATCACAATGCTTCACCGACTACTTTCAGAAAATAAGGGTGATATCTGTATCGCTCTTAACACAAAATTATTTCGTGTAATTTTTATTTTAGAGGCGAGAAAACGGACATTGGAACACCTTGCCAAAAGTCACAAGACGAGAGACAGTGTGACGTGTCTGGTCCTAATTTCAAGTCGGACAGTCTTTCCCCAGCACCGAGTTGTTAAAACGGCCGGAAAAGAATTCCTTCAACGGAGTTTCTGAACTTGCAAGGAAACCAAGCTCTCTTTCCAATTCAAGTAATAATGCTAACAGCGCAGCCCAGATACACGGCAAAACAAAGATAAACACAAACTTCACGGCTTTCAAGAGAACCGAGAAACGCTGACCAGAAGGCTCAGGACTCAGCACGAGCCTCCGTGCCGCCACCGTGCAGACTAGCGGCACCTGGGACCGTGAGCACGGGGCTGGGTGGGGCTCCGGACGCCGGCGCTTCACCTGGAGCACTGTGGGCGCGATGGGCCTACACGCAACCCCCCACCCCGGACTTGCGCTCGGCCCCACCGGGGCCTGCGGCTATCAGGAAGGTGCCCGTCTGGCTCACTCGGACGCGGGCTGACGTGACACCCCAGCCCCGGGCTGACGGGGGGCCCCTCCGAGCCGGCACCGGCCCGGCACCCGGGACCCGCGTCGCTCCCTCCCGCGCCCCTCAACTAACTCCCAGACATCCCGTACCTTCTCCTCATGACGGACGCTCCCAGCACCCGGACGTCGAGGTCGCCGAACTACTCCACGCGGAGCTGAGGGCAGCAATCACCCTGTAACACCAGACAGATCCGGATCGCCGCTTCGCGAGCCGTTAGGCCCCCGCGGGTTTTCAAACCAAACCCCGAGGCGGAGCAGATCCCGATTGGCGCCCCGTCCCGTCGATCCTTGCGAAGCCCCGCCCTCGCCCCGCCCTCGAGTGCGCAGTTGGGTCCGGTCGCTCCCAGGCTCCGGGGCTGGGATCGTCGTCTGCGCGTGCGCTCGGCCACGCCCGTGCGCGGCTCGCTTTCCTCGCTCCGCCCCGCCCCCGGTGCAGTTTTGATTCGAAGTGTGCCCCGCTCGGCCTCCGAGCCATGGCCAGTTAAACCAGCCAGCTGCCCGCAGGCGGCCGAGTGTCTGGAGAGGGTTTAATAGAAGGGCCTGGCGCCTCAACTTGTTTCCCTCGGTCACCTAGGTAGCGCGCCTGGGAACTGATCATCAGTCGCAATATTCCCCAGGTGTAGGAAGCCTGAAGGGGAAGGGAAGGGAAGGGACATGGAACCCTGCCCACAGGCCCACCTTTCTAGACTCGTGATCCCTTTAACTGCCGTGATCCCTTTAACTGCCGTAACAATCCTGTGAGGTGATTATCATCTCCATTTTACAGAGCAGGGACTGTCTCAAAAAGGTTGGAGTGACTTAAACACGTCCCATGATTGGTAAATAAATGGCGATCTCCTGGGTCGTGGTTTTCTTTCAAATTACACGGGGTTTATATAATCGTTATGAAATTTTTCAAACTCAAAATGACAAAGTACTTTTGTGTCTTTCGCTGAACATATGCCACATTCCTAAATGCTTAGAAATCACTTTATCTCAGGGATGCTTGGTTGCATAATATCCTGAGGTGTGGATATCTCATAATTCAACTATTTTGCTGTTGATGGGTACATGGATTGTTATTTTACAAATAAATGTCTTCATATATAAATCTTGGCATCTGGCATTATTTTCTTGCAGTTGACTCCTACATGTGTAAGTAATTCCTGAATGCTAGGGAAGTTTATTTATTAATTTGCCCTCCCCACCAAGGAAGCCTTGCTAGCAGGGTTCCCTCCTCACCCTCAGCAGCGCTGACTACTGCTGTCCTTTTAAGCCTCTTGGCTAGTGTCTTAGGCAAAAAGTGGCATTTCCTTGTTTAGTTTCCTAGATTACAACTGAAATTGCACATTTTCCCATGGGTATTGGACAACTAACTTCTGGGAATCCTTTTCATTTGCTTTTCTATGAAGGGAAAGTAACCTATGCTTGCTTGCTTGCTTAACTGCTTCACCTTCGGGACCATGTTTTTCTCACTTTCAGAAGAACTTGATTGGTATTTTCAAAATCCTTTTACTTGTCAGCAGCATGTCAAACATTCGCCAGGCTAATATAGTGACCCACAGGCACCACTTTTAAATTTACTTGTACTCTTTGTTGATTACCTTGAGAGGTTTTCAGAGAGCTTCAAAAATTTGTGATCCTCAGACATGTTCCCAGGGCCAGTATGGTAAGCACCCAGAGATAAGACAATTTTGCCATCATGTCCTTTATACTAGTTCTGAAGCTAACTTGGAAGATATGCATTCAGAACATATACTCAGCGTGTGAGATGCTGTGTGTGTATAAATGCAGGACCCTTTTACAGGGTCGTATTACATTTCTATTAGACAGCATTGTTCTAGAATGTAAGTGCAATGCACTGCCACTGTTTATTCCCTTAGCTATACAATCCTTTTCTGACTGCCACATGTTCTTTCTACAAACTAACAGCCCTGTCAGCAGTGCCTTTGACCTTGCACAGTAGCTTGACATAGCACGGTCAAAATTCTAGCTAGATACTTGAGGTGTGCATCTTCCTTCGCATATGCACTACACAGCACCATCATTCTATGGAAAGAGTATTTTTGATGATCCAACACCACAGGTTTGGATCTTTCTTTTGATAAGTGACAGCACTGGGGAACAGGCAGAAGGCAGAGCAACTGGGACAGTCTTGCAAAACCCCCGGCAAAAATCAGTAAGTACCTCTGCCATGGGGATGGTGAGAAGAGGATGAACCAGAAGTATTTAGAAGTAATGGGCAGAGGACCAGCTGAATGTCGGGGAATAAAGAGAAAAAAATCTGAGGTCAAGAATATAATTTCTTACATGAACAAAATGTGGATAGATGATGAGAATGTTAAGGGAATACAGGAAGAGGAACAGGTTTAGGGATGCACAGTGGGGATGGAAAGTTCGGTGTGGGAGCCTATTTTAGACGTGGAGTTGGAAGTGCCTATGGAATGACCAGGTTGGAAACACTAGTGTGACAACACTCGGATGAAGGTTGAGCTCTGGAAGTGAATGACAAAAAAAGGGCAGAGAAAGAGGAGATGTCAACAGACAGATAGGAGAGAGGAGAAATGAAGAGAGACTGAAGTATAACCTAGGAGACTGCAGGAGGATAAAAAAGCATCATGGATGCCGAGTATGAGAATTTCAAGAAGGAAAGGATGGTCATCAGTGAGATCAATTTAGAAAAGGGCTGAAGGGACCACTAGATGTGGCTATAGTTCACAATGTTTCACAGGTAAAGGAAGAGGAAGGCCACTAGAGCCAGCACTGAAGAGGGCACTGGTGACATGTGTGGGAGCACCGTTTGCTGATGCCTGAAACTGCTCTAACAGGGCACACAATCTTTTATTCTGTAATAAGAAACAAAAGGGTTAAAATGAAAGTGCCCCCTTAAGTTAAAACAATAACAAATGCATTTTTTTTTTAAGTGTAATGAGTTGCAGGATTTAGAGCTGAAAGGTGCTTACTGAGCATCTACCTAATCCGTGCCCCTCATTTTATGGTTCGGGAAACTCCAGTACAGGGCAAGTTTCAAGGAAGAACCAGACATGGAGCCCCTTGTGCTTCACAAATAAAGATGGAAGTGCTGGTCCAGAACTAATCATATTACATTTGAGAGTAGAGGCTTTATTTACAATGACACTCAAACAGGATTTAGCAAAAGATCCTCCTCCTCCCTGTTATCTTCCCAGCCTGGGCTGTACTTCATAAACAAGAGAAATGTTGTGGGGGCAGGAAGCGAACTCTCCCCGGATGTGCTCTCTAAACCCCTAACAAGTTCCGTGCTCCCCAGCGCTTCACAGGGTGGGTGGTGGACACTGTGCAGCTGGGAGCCCCGCTCTTGCGTCCTTTTGGGGAACGTGTGGAGGCTTCAACACTGGCCGGGAAAACTTCAGGCTTTCACCTCACTCATGGCCTCCAAGAGGCGAGCGCTGTTCGTGACTGCTGTCGTCAGAAAAATGAACCTGTACCCTGCGGAGTCAAAAGCACCCGCCTATGCAACTACCAGCAGATCACAGGCCCCCAACACCAGCCATGCCACATGGAGCCCTTCCAGTTCCACAGCCCTGGCGGGGCCAGACAGCAGTTTACAGACAGAGTCGCATCAGTGCCATGCTCAGGGCACCCCGTGCCACGCCTGGCAGAACGAGGCTCTGTGCTCTTCAGCCCACAGCAAGTGGTACCCAGAAGCCAGCAGAGGCGCCTTCCTGAGGGCTGCCCGCTGACTCCTAGATCCCATGGAGGCCTGCTGTCACCTCTCTGTTCTCGCTTACCTTTCTCTCTGCCCAGGAAGCGCAGAGCTGAGATCTCAGAGAAAGTGCAACCGCCCAGGAACACCACCAAGATGAGGCGCAGTGACTCGCTGGAGGCCTTTTCCTCCTTGGTCATGCCTGCGGAGGTCAGATGGGCTCAGCTCTTCACTGGCGCCTAGCCCCAGGCCAGCAGCCAGCCCCCTCCGCCCAGTCCGCCCGCTCTCCAGGCTGCGTACCTGAGAACGCCAGCTCACTGCAGTTGAGCAGCCGCACCACCTCGTCCAGGCCCTGCCAGCTCCGTCGCTCCAGCACCTGGGGAGGCACAAATGCTAGTCTCAGGTCTAAGACAGGGCCAGGCTTAGGAAAGGAAGGTCACAGCGGCCCAACCCTCACGCTGTTTGCTAGTTACGAGGGAAGCTAAAAGTTGGGCCAGACCAGGGACTGAGAGAGCATGAAAACACAAATGGGAGCGGGAGTCACTGCTGTCACCTGCTCGATGACGCGGCAGCTGAGGGGCACGTAAGCTCCACTGAAGACGTACGCCATGTCGCGGGGCACTTTCAGGTCATACTCGCCATCCACACGTGGGATCTAGAGGGCAAAGGGGGCTACATGAGGCACGTGACAGCTCTCCAGGCTTTTACAGGGTCAGGGAAAAGTGGCAGATCCGTAAGGACAGTTCTTACTTCAACTAAACCGGCAATAGCCCTGAAAACAAAATAGAATCCGTGACCAAAGATTCAAGCTTCTGTTCCGTACCTGCCGCTTCTCTTGAATGAGTCCCCAGGCTGCCTGTGAAGGGCTGGAGGGAAGGGTGCCCCTCTGCCGACCCCTCAGTGACAGACATGAAGCAGCACTTAGCCTATTGTCTGGCATTGTAGGTAGGTGCCTACTACGTGTTTATTAACCAAATGATGCCATGTGTCTTGTCTCATTATTAAATTAAGCTGATGCTATCAGGCTACCAAATGACAGGATCTTTATAAAGACAAAACAGGGCCGGCCGAGTGGCGCGATGGTTAAGAACTCGCTTGGGATGCCAGAGGGCCCCGGTTCGGATCCCACATATGAGGGCCAGTGAATACTGCCCTCCACAGCTAAGATGCTGAACAGCGGCTCGACTTGGAGCTGGGCTGCCTGAGTCGCCGGTGACGGCGTGGGCTGTAGCCCATGTGGCAGTGGGTTGCCATGGGCTACCGTGTGTAGCCAGCAGCCAGCGTGAGCGGCCAGCAGCCGCAGTGAGCGGCCGTCCAGAAGCCGGCGACTGATCTGCCTCGCCCGGGAAGAGCGCAATGATGGTGCCAACTTGGGCCAGTGAAGCAACGTCCTCCACAACTAGACTGAAGAACAAAACGACAGCAACTTGTCTGTTCCCCTTCCCCAATCTCCCAGCACTGTTCCCATCCCCCCAATTCCCCAATAAAAATCTTTAAAAAAAAATAAAATAAAATAAAGACAAAACAACACAAAGGTCTTTGGGGATTTAAAGTACTCCACAAAGGGCTGAGCCCGCGGCCTCCCCTGTCCGTCCCTGCTCCACATACCAAATTCAGCTTCTTGCTGATGGCACGGAAATTGCTCCTCTTGGCCAGAGAGCTGAAGGCATCAGTGATCTTTCCTGGGGAAGAAATTGGTGCTGGGTTTCATCTAAAGTCTATGGATTCGTGACCCTGTCACAGGCTGTACCATTCAGGAAATGACAGGACCTATCACATCTCTGAGCCATTCATCCACAGGTCCCTGTGACTAATGAAGACATTCAGCACCCTTCTCCCCACCAAGTCCTACCCCTCCTACAGGTGCCAGCTCCCTACTAAATGCAGTCTACAGGGTAACTACAGTTTACTGGTTAAGTGTATGTGGCCTTGGAGTCAAACCAACCTGGGTTCTAATGGAACTTACTGAGGGACCTTGGACAAGTCACTTAACCTCTCTAAGCCTCAGTTTCCTCATCTGTAAAATGGAGATGAAACTAGACTTTGTGGGGATTAAAAGAGAAACCGTATCTAAAGAGCTTAGCATGGGGTGTGTTCCATAAATGGCAACGGGTCCTACTAGCAGAGGTAGCAGTAATGACAGCCATAAGAAGGAATCCTGTTCTCCTTCCCCGCTCTTTCTCTCTCCCAGGGTGCTCTGCCTGCGCTCCCCGCTCACCTGCAGCCTTGTCCGTCACCAGCTTGCTCACTTTACTCTCCACAGCCGTGAGGGTGTCCCCAGGAGCCTGCTCTGTTAGGAGCCCCGCTCGCCGCAGATTAGAGAAGGTCAGCAGGTGCTCAGGGCCGTAGCTCTGAAGAAAATGCAACCCAGCTCTTCACTAAGTGTCCACCAAGGGTCTAGCACTGTTTGTTAATACGGAGGTGAAGGGGGAAGGATCATGCAGCCTACGCCCTGAAGAGCTCACATTGTTTGGGTGAAAGATTTTCTTAGAAATAACCAAACACCAACCTCAAATAAAAGCAACACGAAACTATGGAAGACCAGAGAGAGCAACTGATAGGATGGTAGGGAAGGCTTCACGGAGGAGATAAGACTAGAGAATGAACTGGAAGGAAGCTTATTAATGCCTCATAAAGTGTTAAAGTGAGGGAGAGTCTCGGAGTAAGAACTCAGCACCTGGTCCGACAGTTGAATGACAGTTGAATTGTTCCTCGCTCTTAGCACTGGCCACCCACTGTGAGAATTGGGGGGTGGGGAGAAACGGGCAGCGGAAGGGGCTCTTGGTGCTGACTATCCTACAACCTCTGAGAGGGAGGCCGATGGGAACAGGATGGGGACGGGGACAGGAAAGGGGCCGTGTCCTCTTCTGCCTCTTTTAAAAATGTCCAATGACCTCCCTCCACCAAGTTCCCTCAAGAAGACATTCTCCTGGCCCCACCTGTAGATACTGTGTTTTCAGGGATCGGTAATCCTTGGGGATCAAACCTGAGGGTAAGGAAGATAAAACACAGGTTCATGAACCAGCAGAGTTGTCCTAAGATGTACAGCCACACCAAATAACCAACCAACCAACCAACCAACCAACCATCTGCCCCCCAAAACAGACCTTAACCAGAAGGAAGGATTCGGTAAATGATGTTAACCTTGCATCCTACACAACTGATTCTAAATGGACTCTTCCATTTAGGTTGGATCATTGAAAGATAAAGCCTGGATCTGAGAGTTCCAAGAAAGAGCCCTGAACCACTGGGCGCTGAGGGACACTGGAACGAATGCTAAGCGCAGTGGGGATGGTGGCGGGACACGGCAGGAGGAAAAGAAGGGACTTCCTGGGCACTTCGTCCCAGCTGTCGGCCAGTTCTACTGGGAATTGCCTTACAGCTACTGAGGAATAGGAGAGTGTTTACCAGGGTCCAGAGGACAGCCTCAGATACTTCCCTCCATCAAGGTAAAAAGAAAGGGGCTTTCCATCACAATAAAGGAGATTTAGAATAAGCAAAGCCCTTCTCTAGGTAGAGAGCAACCGAGCAACCTTCAAGAATGTTTACCTAGTGGAAGGCTTCAATAGCAAAACCAGTTGCCATTAAAGGTTGCAGAATCAGGGCTTTTGGAAATGTTGATGCAATTGGCTGGCTGTCCCTTTTTGCCAGACTGGACTATGAAGCCTTGTTGGAGGTGGGAGGCCAGAAGGAACAAAGGGAGATGTGCCACTCTGTCCTATGCCTCTGTACTCCTAAGATGTGACAGGCCTTATTCTGGGGGGCCCAGGTGTGGTCCTGCTTAGGGCGGGGACACTCAATTATCCTGGGGATGTTTCCCTCAAAACAAAAACTGCTTTAACTTTATAGGGGAAAAGAATCCACAAAATTTCAGGCAAACATTCTGCCTGCTGGGATATTCATCTGTGTCATTCAAAATCCTTTCTTCTATCCCTAAGGTATAATTTTCCATCCAGCATCTTTGGTCCCTGGGGCTCACCATTCTCGGTGATGGACAAAAGGCACATGAGGCGAAGGCTTTCTATAGGTGACACCTGCACAGGAAGAAAGGGTCGAGAATTCATAAGTTTCATAATACACAAGCTTCCCTCTTCCTTCCACTGGAGGCTGAGCCCACCTCTCAAGGCCATTCCCAACACCTGCTCCACCCACCTGCTCACCTGCCGGTCTATGTGCTCTTCAATGTAGCTGGTGCTTTCCCGGATGTTGAAGCCCTCCAGCAGTGCTGTGAGTAATCAGAGAGGGCCAGTCACTGGGGGCGCAGCTCAGCCACTGCCATCTACACTAATGGGCATGTGTCTCCCCATCTCTTCCCCCATCCTTGGGTGGGTTAAGGGACCCCCCAGGACTTCTAACAGGAAGCAGTATTCCACACAGCCAGCAAGCATCTTTACAAGGTGGGATGGGGCTGGGAGAAGGGAGGCAGAAGCAGCCGGGTACGGCCACTGCGGTCACCATGCTCAGTCTTGATGAGCTCCTGGAAGTCCTGCTTGGTTTTCTTCTTCATGATGGATTCACAGGCCCCAATATCTGCAGAGAGGACGAAAAGCCAGCTGACATATTCTTGGTTCTAGAGGATATTTTCCTTTTTTTTTTTTTTTTAGCTGAGCCATCCTGCCACCTGTTGGCAGCTCAGCAGCTGCTCAGCTCGAGCCGGGAATCGAACTGCTGTTGCTCAGAGCTCACACTCTTGAGCGAGCTCTTAACCAACTAAGCCACTCGGCTGGCCCTAGAGCAGCAGTTCTCACCCTGTGGGTCGCGACCCCTTTGGGGGTCAAACGACCCTTTCATAGGGGTTGCCTAAGACCATTGGAAAACACATATTTTCGATGGTCTTAGGAACCGAGACACTGCTCCTCTATCCGTCTCCATGCTTCAAGACAAAATTTCATTTATTTATAATTAGAAATAAATATTTCACAATATATAATTACATATCGTTTCTGTGATTAATCACTATGCTTTAATTATGTTCAATTTGTAACAATGAAAATACATCCTGCATATCAGGTATTTACATTACGATTCATAACAGTAGCAAAATTACAGTTAGAGTAGCAATGAAAATAATTTTATGGTTGGGGTCACCACAACATGAGGAACTGAATTAAAGGGTCGTGGCCTTAGGAAGGTTGAGACCCACTGCCCTAGAGGATATTTCTTTATTGCCCAGAAGAATAAAAACCTCAAGGCCAAATGCAGAAGCACTTCCTCCCTAGGGCCGACCAGGTGGCGCGTTGGTTAAGAGCTGGCTTGGGACGCCAGAGGGCCCCGGTTTGGATCCCACATATGAAGGCTGGTGACACTGCCCTCTACAGCTAAGATGCTGAACAACAGCTCAACCTGGAGCTGGGCTGCTGTGAGTTGCCGGCGACAGCGTAGGCTGCAGCCCCTGCTGCAGTGGGTTGCCATGGGCTACTGTGTATAGCCAGCAGCCAGCGTGAGCGGCCAGCAGCCGCTGTGAGCAGCCATCCCGAAGCTGGCGACTGATCTGCCTCGCCCAGGAAGAGCGCAATGATGGTGCCAACTTGGGCCAGTGAAGCAACGTCCTCCACAAGTGGATTGAGGAGCGAAAGGACAGCAACCTGTCTGTTCCCCTTCCCCCAATTCCCCAGCGCTGTTCCCATCCCCCAATTCCCCAATAAAAATCTTTTAAAAAAAAGCACTTCCTCCCACTTTAGATCAAACGAGAGCGTATTTGCTAGGTAAACAGGGGTCTGCTGTCCGGAGTAGAGCTCCTGCTGTCCTCCCCTCGAGCTGAAACCTACGCAGGCTCAGCAGGCGGTGCTCCTGCTTCAGGCCCTTGAGCTCCTGGGAAACGAAGTTCTTCATCTGCTTGATGTCCATGCCTCGCCGGCGCTGTGGGGAAGTCCCACTCAGGTCACCTCTGCCGGCCCTCAGGCCTGAGAAACCACTGCCCTCCCTCGGTTCCCACGGATCCAAGAGAAAAGACAAGGAGTGTGTCATGTATCAGAAGGGTCACCAAGGAGCGGCAGCCTCTGAAAGCCACCGAGGAGACAGAACAGGGCACCCCGGCTTGGAGCCTCACGTCATACTGGGTCTGCAAGTTCCGGGCTTTCTGGCTCAAAAAGCCAAAGACATTGGAGAAGTGCTCATTACGAATCTCATTAAACACCTGTGAGGGGAGCAAGACAGGAAGAGCTTACTGACAGAGCCTACCTTGTGCCTTCCTACCTCATTAGCGTCACGATAGCACAGAGAGGGTGGACGGCTACTGTAGCAAAAGCATGAAGAAAGCTGAGCTGGCATCCAACAGATGTCAAATGCCTGCTATGTGGGGTATGCTGTTAACTGGCGGGGATCCCTCTCTGCCATTAACTCAGCCTCCCCTCCCAGAGCTGGCGCCCACAGCCTCACCTTGTCCTCAGCATTGAGCAGCACCTTCAGGCTCTTGTCAGAGGACGTGACTTCTGGGCCAAAGTCGACGCTCCCTTTGAGAGCAGAGGGGACAGCTATGAGTATCTCCAACGAGGCCTTCCTTCTCCTAACCCTCCCGGAACTGCTGGTAAAAGTTCTCCAAACCATTTGGGAGCCAGCAGTCCCCTCAGAGCCTGGGTCTCTCCCCGAAGCCCCGTCCCCAGGCAGGAGGCCCCAGGAGCTGAGGACCACCTCCTTGCCAGGATGCCACTTACCACACTTGATGCGGAAGGTGTCGTCCACCAGGCCCTCGTAAACCACCTGGGAGCAAAGTGCCGTCACAAAGTCCATGTCTGAAACCAAGATCCCCGACCATGAGGGTCCCCCCATGCAGATTTTTACCCCGTTTGCTCAGTATCAGCTCAAGTGCCTGGCCCAGGGCCCTAGTGCCCAGGCTCCCAATTAAGGCTGGCATTCGCAGCCTGACATGAGGGCCTGACTGGGCCACATTTTCCATATTCCCATGTCTCCCAGGGTCCAGAGACCAGGAGTGCCGGGCACAGTTTACCTCTGTCCAGGAGAAAGATGTGTCCAATTTCTGGCCTTCGGCCCTTGGCTTCGCCATCCTCCTCCTCCTCCAGTTTCCTCCACAATTCATGTGACATCTGCCAGGGACCAAGGCATTCTTTTTTTTTTTTCGCCCCCAAACTTTTAATTTTGTTTTAATTAAACGTTTTTTATTTTGAGATCGTTACAGATTCATATGCAGCTGTAAGAAACACAAGACATTCTGGATCTTGTGTCCTCCAGTCCCCTACCTGCAGAAGAAGCCAACCCCCTTCCACGTGACACTTCGCCCTGACCCCAAGAGGGGACCAACTATTAACAGTATTACCTCTCCTGCTTCCCTCTGTTCCTCTCCCTCCCTGCCCCGCCCCACAGCAAAGATAAAGAGATTTAGGAACGCTGCGCAGGAGGCCTGGCTGCCTTTCTGCCAGCCACACACGCTCTCTTCTGAGCCACAATAAAGGCAAGGTAGGTACCTCATGTCACAGATGGCCCGAGACAATCCTCAGTGGGCAGTGAACCGGTGGAATGGGGCCATCGGGACAACAGGACGGCCAGTGCTCACCTTGGCACACCTGCCAATGCCGTAGCAGTTAGGAAAGGGTCCATAGAGAGTGCTGAGAAGGTGCAAGGCCTGAGCCACAGTGTTGATCCAACGCTGATCTCCTTCCTACAAGGGCCACAGAGGTAAAGTTCAACGTGACAGGCCCATCTGAAAAGCGGCTAGCCCTGGAGCAGGAAGGCAGGGTGTGGGGAACGCTTGAAAAAGGTCATTTTCACTGGCCCCAAAGGAAGTCCCATGGACACCTATCAGCAGCATTCAATCTCCCCATCACTACCGCTCATCATCAGTGATAGGGCTTGGAGGAAGGTACATCAATATAGCGAGCCCACTGGACCCCATGTTTGTCCCCACCTGTCGGTGCCAAGACCCAAGGGCCCCGTGTTTACCAGGAAGTAGTCCCGGAAAAATTCTGGCAGTTCCATGCTCAGCAGATCCACGTCCAGAGGTAGCAAAGAGAAGGCCCACTCGTCACAGCTCACATCTGTGGGTACAAAGAGCATCAGCCTCCCTGCAAAGCACGTGGCTCCACATTAAGAGGGAAGGCCCGCCAGTCATGCAAAAACACCTGAGCGCCTGCCTGCACCACGCCAGGTACTGCACTGGGCACGGACACTCACAGATGAGCAAGAGAGACCCTGTGCCCTGAGGGGCTCACAGTCTGGCAATGAAAGGAGACAGGTAAACACCCCTATCACATGACAGGATAGGGGTGTGTTCTCATTAGCGTGCTGACCAAATGTGCTGAGGAAACATTCACAATTCCACAAATACTGGCGGAAAGCCGCATGCGTGCAGGCACTGGCTAAGCACTGGGGGGAACAGTGGTGACCAGAAGTGACACGTGCCCAACCTCATTGGAAAAATTCTTACAACCTAGGGGAGAACTCTGCCCCAACCGGATGTTATTATAGTTGTGCTCAAGAAGTGAAACAGCAGCCCGTGAGCACAAACATTCAGGGGTCTGGCCTCAACCAGGGGTGGGGCAAGTCTTCCCTAAAGGAGTGACACTTAGGCATAGAATCTGAGTAAGATCTGGGCAGGCAAGAAGGTGTAGGGTGGGGCATGTTCTAGGCAACAGAAACAGCACATGCGAAGCCCCCACCACTGGAGGAGAGCGAGTCAGGAGAAAGGGGCGGCATGTGACGAGGCGAAGGGCCCAGGGAGGGGCCCCATGGAGGAAAGTGTGGGAGGCCATGGAGAGGAATCTGGGCCTTATCCTGAGCCACTGCGAAATTCTCTGCAGGGAGTGCTGTGGTCAGGCTGGTGCTGCATGGAGAGTGGCGTGGGAAACACACAGTGGGGGGGCACCATCTCCCCTTGTGGGGGTCTTGGAAGGCAAGGCGTGCAGCACTTGGTGATTTCCAACTAGAAGCCCGCGCATCCCCTCACAGTATCCCACTCGTTCCCACGCTCAGGACATAGGAATGAGACAAGGGAAAGGAGAGGGCAGGGGGAACAACAATTATTTCCTTTTTCCTTATGTTCTCCCCCATTCCACTCACATTCATCTCCTCTCACCTCCATAGATCCCCTCTTCCTCAAGCACCATCTCACAGGCATAAAACTGAAAGAGGAAAAGCAGCTGGTTAGTAAGCACCTCTCCTCTGCTCTTTCCATCCCTCTGGAGTTCCTCCACGGTCGCTGATGAGGACCCAGTAAGAGAACCCAGACTCTAGAAAACACACTGCAATCATTGGCCCAACACTTCGTCTCCCTTCCAGCCGTTTCATTTACTTAGTCCACTGCTTTTTTTCTCCCTGAAACTGGACAAGCTTTACACAGGAGAAGGTACTTCAGCTGTCACGGAAGGGTGAGTCCTGCAGGCAGAGATGGGAGGAAGGGCATGACGGCACTACAGAGGTGGGGGGTAAAGAGCAGTGGTGCGGAGAGGCGCTCTGGTTGGGACATGTCCACGGCACCTCTGGGGACACTGAGGGCGCTGGAGATACAGCCTTGGCGGTCAGTGGCACATATGTTGCATGGAAAGTGGGCGGTTTGTTCAGGAGACAAGAACACAGGAGAACAGAGCTCAGGACAGGGCTCTAGGGAATGTGCACAGTGTGAGACCTGGCAGAGGAGGCTGAGAAAGAACAGAGGCGAGAACAGGAGAAAATGGCACCTCTGCAGGCAGGGGAGGTGAGTTTCAAGGAAGAATGAGCAAGTGTCAAGGGCCAGGGACGTCATGTAGGATGTGCCTGAACCGGACATCACTGCATTTGATGACACAATCTTAGGGGACCAAAGATGAAGGTGGAGGGGAGGGAACACAGGCGGTGACAGCAGATAATTCTCCACAGAAGTCGCCACAAAAGAAGGGAGAGCCCCTGACAGGGAGAGGAGACGGTGGGGGGAAGAGTTGTCTAGAAGGGACAGACATGGTCGCACACAGAAGAGAAAGGAAATACCTGATGAAGTGAGAGTAGGGAAGGAATGCAGGGACGGGGGACCAGGAACACAGCAGGCCAGCTGCGCTGAGATGCGCAAAGACCACTGTCTCCTCCTGCTCTGAGCCAAGCAGGAAAAGGATGAAAAATTTGGAAGTAATGAGGAAGAAAGCGGAAGGCACTCCCATCTGATAATGGTGGTGACAGCAACAACAATGGATGTCTAGCAAGCATTTTACATGCCTAAGCATTGTTGTCAGTGTTTTATTAGGATTAAATCTCTTAATCCCTATGACTCTGCGGTATGGAAGATTAAAGCTGTGTGCTCCTTATTTTACTATTACACAGAAGAGTCCTATGCATCCATCACTCATTTCTGTCAGTAAAACCCAGAGCCACAGGCCCACTCTCAATGCTAACTAATGGAACTCCAGAGCCCAGTTTGAAAACTGCCCATCTTCGTAATTAACAAAGGGAGTCTCAGCAAGAGATTCCCTGTGATATAAAATTAGGTCAAAGAATTTAATTAGATAGGATGTTAGATGATGGAGAAAATCCATAAAAATATCAATTTTATTTTTCTGTGTCATAGGGAGGTTTGTAGGGTTATTTGAAACTGTTTCCATCTGTTGTAGTCATGGTTTAAACACATCTGTCCTCGGAAGTATAATTTGAAAAAAAAAAAAGTTTTGTGAGACTCCAAAAACTAGAAATTACTATCATAGCTCCTTTAATAACATCCAAAAGTAACCTGTAATTCTGACTGGTTACCTTATTCAGTCACTTCTTGCCCTGGTGATGTTACACTTGATATATCTGTATTCCTAAACAGGATGAACGGCTGGAAGATTGTGTTATCAATCTCCAAATGATCTCCAAAGGAGGATCACTGGCTTCTCTTACTCCTTTTTCATGATGAGATAACAATATAAGCCTATGATTCCACTCCATTTCTTAACAGAAACTGAAAGTGACTTCATTTCAATTTAAAAGAGCTAAGTACCATTATCAACTCCATTTTATAGATGAGAGAACTGAGACACAGAGCAGTTAAGTAACTTATCCAAGATCACACAGCCAATCAGTACAAAAGCAAAGATCACACTTTGGCTTCAGTATCTTTAGTCTTCTGTTTTCTCTAGAATTTTCTTGGGAAAGTTGAAAAGGAACAAATTTCTAGCCTCTCAGCTTTGATTTCTATCTGCTCTAGGTGTGGCATACGCTGCTTGGTACTGCTTTACAGGCCCCCTCGGGCAGTGTGAGAACCTGAAAACCTGGTACATCTTTGCTTCCAATCAGTGAGCTCCACGACACACCTACAGTGCACAGATTCGGGGATCAGAGGGGAGCCTCGTGGACTCAAGAAACGCAGCTACACTGACAGATCACCAAACACTCACTGCAATCATGGAGGTGAAGATGGAAGGGACCTGGCCTGGCTCTGCTAACTCACTGTGTGGCCGTGGGCTTCAGGGCCCTCGGCTGCTCAAACTGGGGTGGAGTAACATGGTCTCTGAGGTTCTTTTCCTGTGTAAAAAAAGGCCGAGCGTGGGGCAGTGATTTACTGTATTTATCATCAAACGGCTCTAGAAGGAAGTCATTGAATGCCCCCGACGTCATGCACCATTACTATGTGGGAACCTGTGTTAGAAGGCATACGCAGCAGGCTCTACTTCAAAAGTGTCAATCTTTTCGTTTACAGAAATCTATGTACAGGCCGCCTCCCACTGTTCCACAATCTATATTTGGGGCAGTTTGGTGACACAGCCTCTGCTACCCAATCAGGTCTATGTTAGTGAGACAGTGACAGGGATTTGTTCAGTCACACCTATGGCTCTGAGAGAGGTACCGCTGTTGGTCCCTCTCCCTTCGCAGCCCTCAGTCCAGTTCTGCCTTATCCCCCTGCCGCCAGGATCCAAACTCACCTTCTGAGGGCTGAAGATCACTTTGTATTTGCGAGTTCGGCCGGCCAGTTTGTCAGCATTGACAAGATCTACAGACAGAAGGAAAGCAGCCCAGAGGCCATTTGTTAGACAAGAAGCAAGGAAGCAGATACCCTATAAGTGGTGTGGCAACTCGGACAACTTTCTTCTCATGTAAAGGGCCCTGCGGCCAAGGCCCTTAGGCCGTGCCCACCCTTTCCCAGGTCTCAGTGACACTTGCACCATGGCATACTCACTGGCAATGTAGCGCATATTCTTGATGCGGGGTCTGACCAAGAAGCACAATCTATGGGAGAGAAGGCAAAAAAAAAAAATTTAAAAACTCTCAGTGAAGAAAAATCATGAAGTTGATGATAGCAGCTTAGAAGAAACTGAAATAATGCCAACCCTTTCCCCATCGGCTCTTCTCGACAGGCCTACAGTCCTCGTCCCAGCCACTGCAGGCCAGCTCCCTTGGCCTTCCACATACTGACCACAGAAGCCACCCCCCAGGACAACAAAGACACTGTGTGCTGGGCTGGGAACACTGACTGGCCCTAGTTGCTGCTCTCAAATCATTTACAAACTGTTAGCCAAAATAAGATGGACATATGTATGGAGTACATTATCAATCAGGTGTTAAAACAATGCAAAAAAGGATATGTTTTTTGAACGTGGGCTCATGGATGTCTTCTCCATGTATCCAGGAGAATTTTTTCCCCCAAGGGAGGGTATACATTACTTAAGATTGAGGAATGTGAAAAATAAAAACAAAAAACTAGACAACAGGCAGTTATGTGACTGTGTGCCAAGTGAGCAGGATAAATACTAAACAACTTGGAAGTCCAGAGGAGGAGAAAAATCACCCTGGACTGGAAAAGCACCAAAGAGCTTCGTGGGGAGGTGGGGCTGGACTCTGAAGGCTGGGTGTTTCTTACGGGAGAAGTAAGGACAGGAGAGGATTTCAGGATGAGTGAATGGACCAGCCAGTAGGGTGAAGGCATGCACACATAGTTGGGAAGTACATGACAGCGTGTGTCAGGCAGAGGTTTGAGGGAACACATGAGCGACCAGGCTGGAAAGGCAGTGTGGGGCCTCCCTGGAGACAGCCTTGCCTCTATGATGAGCAATTTGCACTTGACTCTGTCAGTAAGGGAAGCCTTGAAGGTTCTCGAGAAGAGCACAAGGACAATATTTTTGAAAGCTTCATCAATCTGGTTAGAGGTGGCAGACTGGATTAGAGAGAGAAGAGGATCAGGGAGGGAGAAAGTGCAGACAGGGTGACAGATTAGGAAGTCATGGGTGGGGAGGGGAGCCGTATCACAAACATCTGGGTGTCAGATCTCAGCCAAGGACAGATCAAGGGCAAATGTGCAGGGGTAGCGTCCAGCTTGGAGCCGAGCCGGGCTCTCCAAGACACTCACTGTTCACTGGAGCTGACAGCTGGCTTGTTCTCCACCTTGTACAGCTTGTCTACTTCATGTTGCTGCCGAGAGAACCCAACAAGACAAGGGACACAGAGCGCTTGCATGATGCAAAGCATGATGCAAAGACAGGGGACGTCTGGAAGGGTTCCTATTGTGCTAATTCTGGGAATCAAACTGCCTCCCTGACAACCATCCCACTGAGCCTTCCTCAAACTGTCAACAGAAACACCAAAAGTAAAGCAATTCAATACCAACACAGACAACAGTTTATCAGTCCCCCTTTGTGCACCCACCCAGTTTGGCTACCCACTATTTACCCTACAAGGGGAGCCACTCCTTAGTAACTTGTACTGTTTGGCAAAAGAAAAACTGCTTCATGAGGAAAGGGGAGCCTGAGCCCACCTGGGAAAAGGAGCAGGTACCTTTAGGATGGAGACATTGGCGATTCGATCCAAAGGGCTCATGAGATCTGCCTCAATGAACAAGTCCTTTTTTCCCGGGAGCTGAAGGAGACACAGTAACTTGGGTCACTCGTAGGTCACACAAGCTCCCTCGGCTGAGAGCTCAGGCAGCCATCTCTTTAACAGAAGCACAGTCTCTGAGTTGGAAGGGCGTCATTCATCATCTACCCCAGCACCTTATTGATGGTCAGTATTATATCCACAGCTGACATTTCTCTATGTAGTCACCTATTTTGTCTTAGTTTCTGTACCAGTGGATAATTTCACCTTCTTTCTAAGGTCAAGTCCTTGTCACTCAGCCCTCCTACTCGCCTGTGACCTTGTCCCGCCTCCCTGCCCCTCTTCTCCACCGCCTCCTCCATTATGCCTCCCAATAACCCCGGTCTCCTGAGGGACAAAGCCAAACAAAACCAAACTCCACCTTGCATCCTGCAGCCCCTCATCAACTGTCAAGTCTCTTTTTAAGTAGCATTTTTCTTCTAATTGCAAAAATAACCTATGCTTAATACAGAAAAGTTAGCCCAGGACAGTCCTCACCTATCACCCAGCCACTCCCCGACCCCAGATTTCTGTCATCTGACTCCTGCATCATCATTTCTAATGCTACTCTCTCACCTGGCCAGGGGAAGGAGAGGTCATTCTGGGTGGCAGGGAGAGGGAGTTCATTGCAAGTTTCCTCTCAACTAGGCCTGACAAGTGGAGAGGGTGCTGTCGGTGATATAGTAAAAGGGCAATCCAGCCAAGGCCAGGGAAGGAGAACGGGCTGAGTGGGAAGAGCAGAATAAGCACCAGTTTGGCTGCAGCAAAAGATACATATAGGGCAGTGGTTCTCAGCCAGGGATGGTTTGGCCCCCGACGACATCTGGCAATGTCTGGAGACACATTTCGTTGTCCAACCTGGGGCAGGGAGTGTTACTGGCATCTAGTGGGTAGAGGTTAGGGATGCTGCTTAAGACATTACAATGCACAGGACGCCCCACAACAAAGAACTAATCAGACCAAAATGTCAATAGCACCAAGGTTGAGAAATCTTGATGTAGGAGAATGGTGGAAAATAAGACTAGAAGTGGAACATGAGGGGCAGGCCCCAAATGCCAGGTTAGAGAGTTTGGAGTTGATCCTCCACAGAACAAGGCAAAACAGAAAGGTTTTGTGCACTGCAGCGTCCTATTGGCTGGGGATTCCAATTAGATGGGATCTGGGATCTCTGGGTAAAATGGATTGGAGACAGAGAAACTGGAGGCACCGAGTCCACCTCTGTGGTTAATGCCACAGCTCAAGCAGCCCAAGCACGTGGTGGTGAGTGATGACCTAGCGCAGGCTGGTGGTGGTGTGAACAAAAACAGGTTATTTAAAAGATACATGGAGGGGCCGGCCGAGTGGCTCAGTTGGTTAAGAGCTCGCTCAAGAGTTCAAGCTCTGAGCAACAGCGGTTCGATTCCCGGCCTGAGCTGAGCTGCAGCTAAACTGCCGCTGAGCTGCCAACAGGGGGCAGGATGGCTCAGCTAAAAAAAATAAAAGTAAAAAATACATGGAATGTGTAATGGGATTTTTTAAATACTTAAAAGAAATTAACAGTGTTAACAGTGCTTGTATCTGATGACAGGGTTATAAGTGCTTTTTCTCTTTATCCTTTCCTTTACAAAAAACGTCTACGTTTTCTATAATGCACGCGTGTGACTTTATAATCGCTATTTATAAAGTCATGTATAAGGAAGTATCCACAGGACTCAGCAACTAGGTAAGTATGGGAGGGAAGAAGCGTCAGAGGCAAGTGTGAGGTTCCAATCCCAAAGAGCAGTGCCTATTCACAAGAATCGCGTTAGTTTGAAGAGGCCATTACTGCACAGAAATCCACTTTGGCCATGTTGAATCATCCTTGTGGTCAGTTCGTTCCCTGCTGTGCTCCATGTACAAGTTTCCCTCTTTGGTCTCATTTACTCTCTTTCACTTGGATCTTACCTGAGCAAGCGAGTGTCTTGAACTAGCATCTCTTGAATCCCTCAGACACTTGTTGAGTGTCTTTCATGTGCAAATCACTGTGCTAGCACTAAGGGCATATAAAAGAGAAATAAAACATGGTCCCAGATCCCCTGAGGCTCTCCCAAGTCCCCCATCTTCATGCCAAGGGCAGCTCTACATTTCTATCTGCTGGATGTTAGGGGCAGTATTTCCTACCAGCATCTTAACATCACCCCATGGAAACCTAAGCTAATCAACTTTCCCCACCAAACCTTTTCCTCTTTCTAATTCTTTTTTTAATTTCCATTCAATGTTATGCAACAAATATTTATTAAACACAGGCTACGTGCCTGACTCTAAGCTAGGTACGCACTGGGTATACAGTGTTAAAACAGACACGTTCCCTGTCCTCGAGTGCAAGTGATCTAGTAGGGAACATGGACATTAAACAAACAACTATACCTGTAATCAATTACACTTATAGCAGCAGCATTATTTTCTTATTAACGCCAAGTCAAAAATCTCACTCAGCTTTGCTTCTCCCTCAATCTTGAAACCCAATCAATAAGTCCTTGAGTCTTCTTTTGCCGTGACTTAAAAATCCCTCACTTGCCTTCATTTCCAATGTCACTGGAAACGTGTGGGCATTTTGTGTGGGCATTTATTACTTCAATCTATGGTCCCCTGACCGGCCTTCTTGTTGCCCCATTTACCCACCTCCCACATGGCTATTAGAATCATCTTCGAGTATTGCTTCATGCCACAAGTCAGGGAAAATTCATCAGTAGCTGCCTATTGTGTAACTTCTGATCAGTCTCTTCCCTGTGCCTGCCTCGTCCTTGCCTGGTTTCTCAACTTTGCTCCAAGCAGTCCGTATGCCCTGAACGCGGTCTCCCATCTCCAAGAAAAATATGCTTCTTCTTCATACCCCAGCTCCTTGAAACTCCTCCATCACTCCAGCTAGAAATTATTGCTGATTCTGAACGCTTCAGGCACCCTACCATTCATTTACCACATGATACCCTGCGTGTGATAATTTGAGTTTCATACAGCTCCTACTGGAATAAGAATCCCTAACGACCAAGGCGTCTTAACCAACTTTCCATCCCCAGTGATGCCTGGCCCTAGTGGTGCCTTCCTGCATGGGGGAAAAAAGTGATTGTCATTAACTCTCTGTCCAGGTCCCAGGCAGCTCTTACTGGCCTCTGGTTTTGCTCATTGAGTGCTTTATTTTGGACCCGTCACAGGAACGCCAAGGACAATACCAGGGGCCAAGAACAAGGTCAAGGGGTCTCAGCAAGGAAGCAGCATGCGCCCAGTGAGTGCTGAACTGTTGATGCGGTAAAAATCCCAGGCGTGGCGGGCACTGACCTGCTCCAGAAGATAGATGAGCTGGTCTCGGGCCAGCCTCTTGAGCATGGAGAAGTCAGGCAGCTCTGGGGCGTCTGGCCGATGGGGGAAAGCCATGGCAGCGGTCACCTGCACGGCGGCGTGGAAGAAGGCGGCCGCCCTCCGCTATGAGAAGCCTGGTGGCTCTCCTCCAGGCCTGGGCACAGACCTCGAAGGAGCCCCCAAAGGGGCCCTCGCTGCGTTGGAGGAATGAATAGCCACCTCCCGGCCAGACACTGGCAGCCTCGGGGAACCCCCGTCTCAGGCCTGCCGCCAGCGTATGCCGACCCGGCCCTTCCCGCTCCAGTCCGTGGGTCAGCAGGATTTTGGTCCACACCCGCAGACTTCGCGCTGCACGGCGAACCCCGCCTACTGACGGGAGAGCCGACTTCCTGGACCTCCCGGAAGTACCTTTCGCTCGACGGGCGCTTGGCCTAACGGGAAGAGGACGGCGTGCTGGAAGGGACATTTGAAAGGGAGCGTCAAACGCGTCAGCGTTCCAGTCTCATCTGGGATGTTAAGTTTTATCACAGGATAAGATGAGACGTTCCAGTCTCATCCTGTGATAAAACTAATTTCTAAGGGCACATCCAATTCTTCTAGCTCACTCAAGCGAGGGTTGGGCACTTGCTTGATTTTCAGAACTTCGTACAATGGGCTAAACCAACTAGGAGTCTGGAAGGCGTTGATCATTGGGGATCTTGGCTGTCAATCAAACCTACTCCTCAAACTAAGCGGCGCGCTACAGCTCTGGTTTCTGATCTGCGGGAGACTCCTAAGTATGGGATTTGGGGTGGGGGGAAAGACGTGCAAGTTGGGATCCAATGGGGGCTGAGTCCCGACGGCTGTGACCGTTGGATACTGGAATTTTGACTCATTAACGCCCTTCGTGGGAAAATGGGTAAACTGTGGCATATTTATACAATAAAAATGACTGAATAAAGAAGCCAGACACGACAATGGCATTTGTATGATGTCATTTATATAAGGTTCTAGAACAGGAAAAACTATGTTGAAAAAAATTTCAGAAAAGTGATTGACTTTGGAGATGAGAATTGCCTGGGAAGAGAAATCAGGGAATTTTCAGGGATATGGTAATGATCTGTATCTACCTGTTTAGGGAAAAAAACAAAACAAAACTTACGAGCCATTGAAAGGGATAGATGCGGCTGGCAATACTCGAACTCACTGATCACTGGTAACATCACATCATCTCCTGGTGAGGTGCTTAAGTAGAGCATCTTGCCAAAAATTTACCTGAGCAAGCCTCAAGATGTAACTTACCAGTTAACAGGAAATAGTGTAGTGGGAACATCTTAGAAAACATCATAAATATGAAACCAACCATATCCAAAATGAAGGAAATTATATGGGACAAGTAACCTGTCAAATGGTGAGGGGAATAAAGTACAAGAAGAAACCACTTTACAATGGTTGACTTCTGGAACATATCACTACAGTACAATGTTGCAGGGTGTGGACCTTGTTTGGGTCCTAATTCAAAGAAACCAACCATAAAAGCCATTTATGAAACAATCAGAGAACACTACCAGGATATTACCTGATATTAAGGAATTACTAAAACTTTTAAGGTATAGTAATGGTTTATACATTAAAAAGGAGTCCTTGGGGCCGGCTGAGTGTCGCGTTGGTTAAGAGCTGGCTTGGGACACCAGCTCTCGGCAGCAGAGCCTTGGTTTGGATCCCACTTCAGGGCCAGTGACACTGCCCTCTACAGCTAACATGCTGAACAACAGCTTGACCTGGAGCTGGGCTGCCGGGAGTTGCCGGCAACCTCAGCGTAGGCAGCAGCCCCTGCTGCAGTGGGCTGCCATAAGCTACCGTGTGTCGCTGGCAGCCAGCATGAGCGGCTGGCAGCCGATGTGAGCAGCCTCCAGAGGCTGGTGACCAATCTGCCTCATCCGGGAAGAGCGCAGTGATAATACCAACATGGGCCAGTAAAGCGATGTCCTCCACAACTCGACTGAAGAACAAAAGGACAGCAACTTGTCCCCTTCCCCAATAAAATCTTTAAAAAAACACAGAAGTCCTTATCTGAGATACAAAACTGAAGTACTTACAGATGAAATATGTCTGGAAGTTGCTTTAAAATAAGGGGGACGACAACCCAATACATTAACACAAACATGGAAGTGAATCCTGAAATCTTTCGTCAATAGTGAGTTACAAGGTGGTCATCCCAGTGATTCAAATTATGCTTATACTATATGATGTGTCTCAAATAAAAACAAAAATAAACTCAGCATTCTGAAAAAAAAAGAATAAAAAAAAATAAGGGGGAAATGTGGGACAAATGAGGACAATGAACAAAAACTGGCCGTTTGTTAAATGTTCAAGCTGGGTAATGGGTACTAAGAGTTCACTGCATTACAATATTTTCCCTTTTTTGTTTGAAAAATTCTGTAAGGTTAAGCAAACAACTTTTGTGCTCACAATGGGCTTCAAGAGCTCATCTTTTATTTTATACTGAGCTTTTCTCCCTCCACCCCCCTTTGATCAAATCTCAGCTGCAGACAGGTGGAGGCTGCCTTGAGCAGATGAGTGACACATATACTCTCCAGGGCACAGGGACTTAAGTCCCTTCTGTTGTCCAGGTTGCCATCCTCTTAAGCTTGGCCCCAAGGTGGCTGTGAGGTGCCCATTCCACCCACAGACGCCCTCTCCAGCTCAGCCAGAGTCTTGTCATCTGTTGCTTCCTCCACCAGATGCTGCAGCTGTGCCCCAGTGGGTTAGAATCTGAGACACATTGACAGGATGGAACAAGAGCAGGTCAACCTGGAGGAAGCTAGGGCTTGTTGTTGGCTGAGGTCTGGATGGGTAGGCTGGCAAAGGTAAAAGGCAGGGCTTTCTGCCATTGTAGACTGGCTGGCTGGTATAAGGTTCCCCAACCATGTCTTCATTCACTCAACCAATACTGAAATTTATGTTGGGAGCTGGAACTGCAACAAGGTAGGTGATGACAAATACGGAAGTAATAGATTTCAAATACTGGGGAAAATTAAACAGGGTTCACAGGTAAACCCCTCCCACCACAGAGCACCAATCAACAGACTGCTACATTTCACTTTATTTTGCACATAATGAAAACAACCTATTGACTAAGCAGTTCCATAACTGTTAGTGTTCATTAGTCAAGAAGTAAATGAGGTCAGAAGGCAAACTTTGCATTTCCTCCCAAACATATTGCAAGTACCACAGAAAATTCCTAATAACACATGCACCACTGGCTGGTTTCAACGCACAGAGTGCCTATGCAGGAAGGGTGAGCACTGAAGATCCATATGAGTCAGACCAGGAATGCTCCAGGACGCTGGACTCCACCCAGCCGGTCATTCACGCTGCCCCCATCCATACACATCTGCCTTGTGGAGTTCACCACCCCTTGTCAGAGTCCAACCCAAGCAGCTCTTTCCTCCTGCATACAAGGTTCATCACTTCCTCCTCTTCCAGCGGATAACCCATGCACAGAAATCCAGGCAGTTCAAATATACTTGCCCAGCTGTGTTTCACGTGGCATCTCCACAAGCCAGGCTCCAGTTCAAATTCTGTACAGGAAGTTCCCATTGTCGTCAAAGAACTCTCGCCCCCTCTGCACTACTTTGCTGCTGAAGTTCTGCTCACCTGGTTCCCCTGCCTTCAACTCTTCCAGCTGCTTCTCACCTGGCAATCCATCACTGTCAGGTCCTCTGGTGGCCTCACCATCGCTGGTGGAGTACTTCTGCAGCTCTCTCTGATGACCCAGGGCTGCAGTGACAGGCACAAAGCTCTCCTTCTCCAGGCTCTGGATTCCTTTATTCCTTCCCTTCTGTCTCCTTGGTGTGTTTGTGCTGTGACTATTCGATTCTATCATCTTCAAAGTTGTGCTGTGACCCTGGCCTTGGGATGAGGTTTCACCCCCTGGGACCAGCAAAGAGCCCGACCTGGAGCGGCCTGTAGAAAGAAGCTTCCAGTTATCCCCAGAGCCTGAAGGCCCAGCTTTCTTAAGGACTTTTTGATCCTGCTTCAGTTTCTGCTCCAATGTGGGTACAAACTTGCTTTTTAAAACCCTTCTGATCACATCGGTGCTGACATCAAATCCTTCAGCCAATCTGGGAACTGACCAGGACTCTGCAAATTCCTTATGTAAATACCTATAGAAAAACGGAGTAGGTTTTCAAGTTGTGGAGAAGTCTATCAAAATAGCTAATCCTAGTGACAAATGTGAGAACAGGTGCAAGCCTAGTCTATCTCCTGCCACCAAATGGCTGTGTTCCATCCCTGTATGCCGAAAGCAACACCCAACTACACTTAGGTCACTTAATTTCACATCAAATGAACTCCTCCCACTACACACTGGCCCCAGTTGGATACCAGGGAATACATGAAGTGTGTCCTTTCCTTCAAAGAACATACAATCCAGAGGTACAGACAGCTGTATTAACCTATAACAACCCTATGATGGCTATCATAGCACAGGATTCTATGAGAGCACCCAGGAGGGAGACCCAGGGACGGGCTGTCACAACATTGGCAGCATGGCCCAGGAATTACTTCAGGAAGTCCACAGTAGAGCTGGTCTGAAAGGGTGAAAAGGAGACCAGAAGGGCAGAGAGGAGGAGGAAGAAGAGATCCCAAGTACTGACAGTACAGCGAGCCTGTGAAATGTCAAGAAGCACATCAGCTATGTTGGGAATAGCTCCATTTGTCTGACAGTGAGAGCAAGACCAAGATGTCACGCTTAGGAGTCTGGAGTTTATCCCAAAGCAACAGTGAACCAAGGAAGGATTTAAAGCAGTGGAATGCCACGAGCAAAGTTTGAGTTTGAAGCTCAATCCAATGGTAGTTTTTCAGTGGCAAGACTAGAGGTGGAAAGACCGGGGAAGAGGCTGTCACACTAATGCAGGCTATATGAACTGAGGCATTGGCAAAGAGAGCAGGAGGGAAGGCTGGAGAAATATTTTAGGAAGGCCAACTGGTAGAACTTGGTCAGGGACTAAATATTAGGGGAGGAAGCAGGCTGAGATTCAGGATTTTAGCTTGGGTGATGGGTGGGACCATTCAGGGTTATGGCAAAAAATAGAAGCAGAATTAAGTAGTGATGAACATGTTGAGTTTGAGACACCTGTGTGACATCCAAGCAGAGATGTCTGGTGCAGAGTTCAGAATTCAGAAGAAAAACACGGACTGAAGATGATGGATTTGGAACAGCAAAGGTGCTTAAAGGCATGTGAGTGACTGACATTAGGCAGGGAAATATGCGGGATAAAATAAAATGACCAAGAACACAACTCTTTAACATCAATCTTTAAGATATAGGAGGAAGAAGGGGAGCCCAGAAGAAAACAGAAAAAGCAGCCCTAGAAATAGAAGTGAGTGGTATCTGAGTCAAGAGAAAAGAGAATTTCAAGAAAGCAAACTACAAGGTCAAATGCTGCAGTGTTAAGGAGGCTTCAGACCAGAGTGTCAGTTATGCCTAGTACCAAGGAAGTCACTGATTTGTAGAGAATGGTTTCATACACAAAACAAACAAAAAATGGTAGGCAGCCAGGGAGCCAGTTGGGAACAAAATGATGAGGGAGAAACTTAAGTTGACAGGCGTGGGTCCCTGAGGAATTAGGTAGGGGTATGACCGAGAGAGCACACAGGATTGGTCCTAGACGAGTGAAGGGCTACCATTTCCCCTGAGATGTAAATAAGGTATAGGATTGAGAACGGAAAACAAGATGGAAGACCAAGACGCTTTAAGGGCTTCTTACCTAATGGCCTGTTTTATCCTTGAAGTAAAAAGACATTTATTGACCACAAAAGGGGAGGTGACAGGAAGATTTGAAAAGGCTGTTGCTCTGCACAGGAGGGGAAGCTGTTAGAGGGGTGCTACAGCCTGTTTCTTGATGAGCTCTCCAGAATCCCCTTTATTCTGAGTCTCAATTCCAGAGTCATTCTGATGGGAATGGGAAGTAACCTATAAGAGGACTATTTAGTAATACTTATCAAAATACAAATCCATTTGCCCTTGGGTCCAGCAACTCTGCTGCTGGGAATGTATAAAACAACAACATCTGACAGATATAATATGTATACAAAATTATTCACTAGAGCACTATTTGTGATAGATAGCAAGTGAGTGGAAACAATCCAAGCACCCATCATAAAAGACTGGTTAACTAAACTATGATATTCTATGATCGCTATAAAAAACAATGAAGAGTTTTCTCTTCTGAAGTGGGAAGGTCTATAGAATATTAAGTCAAAATAATATAGACAGTATTTATAGCACTGTGATTAAGGAGGTGAAAATTTTAAAAATTGCTTGTATTTGCATAAGGAAACCTGGAAAAAGGCACAAAAAACTATTAAAAATAGCACCCATAGGAGACTGACTGGGATTAATCATTCTCAATGTGCAAACACTATACTGTTCTAATTTTGAACTATATGTAATCTATTCAAAACAAAAACCTTAAAATTTAAGAAAGGATCTCGTTAAGATTTTCTAAGATAGAGATCCTCTCCTCAGAAAAATGTACATAACCATGGAAGCGCCTATGCCTGGACCTTAGGTTAAGAACGTCATGTTTCACTGTTTATGCGTTAAATGTTGTGATGTCTGCAATTTACTATTTTAAAATTTCGGCAAAATGAACCAACTGGGTCATAATGTTAAAAACTATTAAATCAAGACGACGGGCTTATAGAAGTTCGTTATTATTACTCTCCTTTTAAGAAATCTTAAATGATAAAAAAGAAAATATAAAAATATTCTGGCCCCAGTATTCTTCACTTATCATCACAGCAGATCCAAACTACCAGGAGTCTTACCGGATCTGCTCCATGGCTTCCCACGTCAGGGTCCTGGGCGGGGCACCTGGCGCCTCCATTTGCCTCCGAATTTTCTGGAACCGAATGGCTTTTTTCTGTCGTTTCAGGGTGCTGGGGGAGAGAACCAATGGCAGAAGCCATGCGTGCAAGCAAGATGGGTGGTTGAGGTGTCTCGGGCTAAATATCGGAGTGCCCAGCCCCCTTTTCTTTGTTCAGCGCCTCAGAAATCTTAACGCATAGAACAGCCCCCAAGCATGCCGAACTATTTCAACGGGTAATAAAACACGTCACTGGTGAAGGGACCCGTGGCCCCGACGGAGCTGAACACCTGCCCCTGCGCCTCGGGTAACGGGAAGAAACAAGGGCCCCTGTGAATTCGGCTGTAGGATGCCCGGCGCCAAGGGGGCGCGGCCCTCAGGCCGGGGCGCCGAGGACCTGCTTCAGGCTGAGGGCTCGGGAAGGAGCCGGTACCTCTCCACCTCCTGCAGCTCCCGCTCCTCTGGCTCCCAGTCGAAATCGGGATCCGGCTCGCGGCCGACAGAGCCCGGGCCTGCTACCCCACGGGTCGCGAACCCGCAGCGAGCGACGGCAGCACAGACACGGCCTCCCAGCAAGAGGTTCAGAGTACCCGCCATGTTGACGAATCTCAGCCCGAAACGCGGCACCACCGGAAGCCAAGGGGCGGGAAGGAAGCGGGCGGCTCGTGCGCCACTGCCGCTTCCGGCCGGAGGCGGGCTAGGTGGGCTCCAATGGCGCTGCGGCCGCCCTTTCCCTGCTCTAATTATGGAGAGGGCCTCCCTGAAACGCTAGAGCCCGAATGAGGTGGAGGACGCGCCTGCAAAACGGCATAAACTTTAATAAAAAGACGGGTTCAGTTGCCAAGAGCCGCCCCTCCGCTAGCCCATACCGGCCTGTCTCCGCCACGGCGGCGGAAGGCCGTCCCCCTCGGAGGTCCTCTAGGAAAGGGGCTCCTTGTCGCGGCGATGACCTCCAGAGTCGGGCCGCACCCAGGGTTCAGACCGTATCCAAGCGATAAATCCAAGCTCAGGTTTCAAGGGTGAAGTTGAGTGCATGGCCGGTAATGGCTCCTCTTCATTTTTTAGTCTTTTACGATCCCAACATAATCTTAGGGTATTGAGGAACTCCCGATTGGTGTCTTTCTGTTTGTGCCTTGTGCAAACAGGGTTCCTGGCCAGAGCTTTTCAAACTCAAGCTTGGTGGCGCTCTTTCATTTAGCAAAGATTGAAGGCCCTTTGCCTCTTAGGAAACTTGAGGGGGTTGGTTCTCCAGGAGAGGTTGAGCGCTGGGCTTCTTCCTGCATTTACCTGTGGTGGCTGATGTCCAGAAATGCAGTGGTACTCGGCATCAGGGTGGTGGAGGTAGGGCAGAGGCCCCAGGTTTTGGCTGCTCTGTGTTGAGAGTTTACCATGGAGGACAAGGTGCATTCAGTCCGTGGGCCACTTAACACTCTTTCCAGTTGCAGAAAACAGCCCTGCTTTGGGGTTAATGAGGGTGGCACTGTTCCTGCCAGGGCTTGGTTTATGGCTTCTAGCCTTCTGATGGCTTGGCCTTCTGCAGTGGAAACATAGGTCCCCCAGAACAGATTCGCTCACCTCTTTCCCAGCTGTTGCCCAGTTACCAACAGAGAGGAATGACATCCTATGCTTCCCTCCAGTGTCTTACCAGCTGCATAATAATTGGTGTGTTTACTTGCCCCTTTCCCTGTTAACATTTGTTGAGTGCTGGGACTGTATTTCTGCCATTTCTATCACCAGGTTCCAGTATATAGAAGGAGGTAAATAAATGGGGGTCCCCTGCCTTCCCCACTCCCACATTGCTGGAAATGCCATATTATATTCTGGGAGCATCCCAACTGTAATATCTGCTAGTGGGAATTTACACAAGTCAGAGTGACCAAAGCTAGTGTTGCATACTTACGGTTCGTGAGCCTGACTCTGGTACTGGGAAAACAGAGCCTTCTAGATTTCTTCATTGACAGCGAACAGGGGCTGAAGGTGGCTGGATATCTTATCCAGTTGAAGTTCCTGGGCTGTAGCTGACACCGGGAATGATGCGGAAATGCAGCATTCATGCTTGGCAGTAGCCCTAAGATCCTGGGGGTCAATTCGTGGGGCCGAACTGGATGTAGGAAATGAGGAGGACTCTGCGCTTTGGCGGCCCTGCGCTCATAAGGGCCAGTGGGAACAGCCTCACAGACTGAAGTTCTTGACTGCCCAGCCCGTCCTGGTGAAATCTAGGCTAGAGGAGAAGAGCAGCCCCTTATTACATTTCTTGTGAGGCTGATGGAGTGGCGGAAGAAATATGTAACAGAAATCTCTTCTAGGCTGTAGCTACTATTTAACCAGTTACACCTTTGGGGCTCAACAAAAACAGGACCCAACAGGTTTGCTACTAGCCCAGTGAATGCGGCAGCTGTTTTCTTGGCCCAAGACTGTTTACTTATCTCCTGTCAGAGCCAAGGCACTGGCAGTGCTAGGGAGAGATTACACAGAAGTGACTGAGGGTGGCAGTCTTGTTATTTGTCAGTCATGAGTCTGGGGTTATCGCAAGACCTGAATACAGAGAACAAGTCTCTTCTAAGTGAGGCGGTTGGGAGCTGCACTTGGCTGGATGTCATTACGAAAAACAAGGGAGCTTGGGTGCAGATGTGAAAGGAACCAAGAGACCCTTTCCCAAGGCCCAGCTTGCACTGCTTTCCCAGGCTCCACTGCCAGATCCTATCACATTAGCCTCCTGTGCCGTATCCACCACCATGTGCCGGTACAGCCCTTGTTCCCTTATTCTGTGAGACGTGGCATAGGGACCCTCACCCGATATTCCTGAAGTGCTCTCTGGCCGCGGTGGCTGGGGTGCAGCATGCGGGTGATTTGCTCTACAACGCCCAGGCTCCGGATGAGATTTTCCCTCTGCAGCAGGGCCTTCATCCTCTCCAGTTCCTCCTCCTCCACGATTTCTTGTGGCTGCATGCTGTCCAGGTGAACCGGGAGCAGCTACAAGGCACATGACAGGCATATGCAGGGTCTCCAAGGATGAGTCCCAAACCACGAACAAGGTTGGCTGCAGGACGCCTGCCCATTCTACCTCCATCCCTTCCCTGACCTGGTGAAAGGGTCCCTTTGCTCTCCATTCTCCCACCTCCTGTACCAAAAGGTCAGATTTAGTGTACTCATTAGGAACTCGCCCCTCTTGGACAAGAGGAGGACAGGACAGCAGGGATTCCCTTCTCTAGTAATTCCAACCCATGTTCCTGCAGAAAGGCAAGAGCCACAAAACCCCTGACACCTCTTTCCCCGGTTTCCGGTTCCTGAAAGCCAAGTGGGTGGCCAAGTCCGGGAGCCTGGGCGGGAGCCTGGGCCTGCATTGGCTTTTCTCCCCTGCTGACTCTCCCTGGTTCTGCTCCTTGTTTTCCTTTCGCCTCTTAATGCCTGAGGTCTCCTGTGCCTGCTTAAGGCGGATCTCTTCCAGTTGCTGCCTGACAAGATACAGCAGCTTCAGACACTGGAGAAATTGTGTTGGGGGTGGGGAAAGAGTAGGAAATTAGGATCAGTTTTGGGGACTGATGGGAGAGGAATGTGGGGAAAGATGGGACACCTACTAAACTGAGTCATTAAGAGTCTGATAGAATTTATAACTCCATTTCTCTTTCTTCAAGTGTCTGGCTTGCTGTCCACCCCACTGGGGAACAAGTCAGCTTCAGGATGTGTCCCCATCTGAGCGGAGAAAGGAGAATGCAGTGCAGAGTACCTGGCACACTCCTCTCTGGCCTTAGAAGCAGCCGTCTCCTGGAAGAGGGAGCCATTGTTCTTGAAGAAGGGAGCGTACTTCTCTGTGTCGGGCCCAGGGTAGATCCGCTGGTATCTGCCCAGGTGAGAATCCTCATAGCGTTCCAGGTCCAGCAGTGCTGTGTGGGATGACGCAGTTTGTTCTCGCCTGTGAAAACCAAGCTGTGGGTGAGTCAGGACTGTGACAATGCTGAGTCGGGAAAGGAAGGCAGGCTGGAGCTATGAGAACCTCCTGTGAGCTTCATGGCCTTTCGGGCCCCTGCCCATGTGGTGAAGGCTGCCAATCCCATCTGTGGTCAGTCCCACCGGTGTGTAGCCACGAAAATAGGCTTGACATCCAGAAATCTGGTTTTCATCTTAAGTGCAGTGGGGTCCACTCGTAAGCTAGCACTCCCAAGTTATCACAATTTTTAAAATTCTGATTATAGAAAATTAGGTTTCTAATTACAGAAAATCTTAGAAGAGCAAAAAGAAGATAAAAACCTCCCACAATCTTATGATGCAGTGAGGATACTGGTTATGAGCAAGAACTCTGGGGCAGGACCTCCTGAATTTGTCCACTCACTACCATGCTCTGAATTTATTCCTTCATTTCTTGTTTTAGATGAGCATGGGCTCCTACAACAACATTTTTAAATGGCTACCTCATATTCTACCATATGATTGTATTTTTGTTTATTAAGTCGAGTAGTTTTCAACCTTTTTCCCCAGATTCCTAACAGTCACGTGCACAGTCCAATCTCATGGGAACTCCGAAGCATTTACAGTCATGCCTCACCTCCACTCACACAAACACTTGAATGCCTACTGTGTGCCAGGCCCTCAGGATAGCATGGCAAATCAAATACACACTGGCCCTGCATCTTGCAGTGTAAGTGGGCAAGAGTGATGTTACTATAGGATAACCCTAAATCTACTCCAATTCATTTGTATGTATCATTAACAAATTGTAATTTGGTATAGACAACAAATTACCATGTTTGTAACCCATTTTACAATGAAAACAACCTTGAGTGAACAATAGCGATTTAAACCATCCCCTATTATGGAATGACTAAACTGTTTTCTGTGTTTCATTATTATAAACTTTCTCAGGAAATGGTTTCTAGAGGAGCTTCATTAAAACAAAACAAAACAAAACAAACAAAAAAACAGCCAATCAAACCACATAAAGCTTCTTATATGCTAATATGAAATAGTTCTAAGATATACTGCGCTAAGCAGGGTACAGAGAATGTGAGTTATATACTCCTGTCTGGGTAAAGGGAGAAAAACAATTTATATAAATACATGTGTGTATGTGCATTAAATGTTTTTAAAAGTATATGCATGACCCTAGGAATGCTAATTGGCTCCGGGGTGGGGGTCTGAGAAGCTGGAGGAGAAGGGCAGGAGAGAGACTAGTCAATGTAGCTTTTGAATTTTGAACATATTATCTAGGATAAGTGATGTATTATCTATGCCCACCAAAAAAAAAAAAAATGGTTTCTAATAGCTAATCAGCCCCAGGCTGCCTTCTCCATCTAGAGAAGGACTTTTATTCTCGTGAAAGTAATAACAGACGAATACACAACTACACACGTGGGCTACCTGGAGTTCCTGGCTTCTCGTGGCTGTTGGTGGCACTGGAAAAGCCGTTCTTTGACTCGCCGCTTGTCTTCCTCCATCACCTTCCTTTTGTCACAGCCCCGGAGGTTGACAAGGGTCATGGCATCACGGAGGAGTGCGTCCTTCACTTCCCTATCCAGCTGTGAGTCGGTGGTGAAGCTTGGAGAGTGGTTGACCTGCCAGGAAACATCATTATCCACCTCCTTCCAAGACTACCTGAGCAGGGGGTGGTCTTTTGCAGACCCAACAGGAAGATCTGGGAGAGACATCTCCCTCCAGTGGCCTCAGCCAAGGAGGCTGGATGTTCTGGCGTCCAAGGC